TACTGAATAATGTCCCCTCTTCGCACTTTACATTTATTACCATTGAAAGATAATGAGGGAAATAACAAGGAGAGGTGTTCTATGGTGCAACTTGTATTGTGATGCCTTTTGGGTGATCCAATCACAATGGACAGCACTGAGTTTAATGCTTTACAGCTGGCATTAACAAACTTGTGAGGCAAATTAGCAGCGAAGAAGAAGAGAGAGAGTGCATTACGTTAGCAAAAAAAAAAGGGAAGGGGTGATTATAGACAGAAGTGTTGAAGTGATATTAAAGATCATGAAACTTGACGTGGCTTATCGAGTGTATGAGCTATACTGGCTTCACATGCTTAGCAGACATAAGAAACAAAAAAAGACACAGTGAAGAAGGATTTAATCAGAGAAGACTGAAAAGAAGTGGTCAATCTTGCATGCACACAGCCTAAGGGATTTGATCTCAAAGGGTCCTGAGAGTTCTATTTCTTCATGAAATGTACTCAAAGACTTTCCTACAGTATGCTGTCATTTCCTGACAGACAACAGAAAGAGAGAAAGTGCACTTTCTTGGTATCATCACAGTGAACTTTGAATTTTAATCTGGAGGCAAATAGCAGTAAAATCATCAGAGGTGAGTTTGCATGTTGGAGCATGAGGGAAGGTGAATAAAAAGCAAACACACAAAACTGAGTAACTCAAAGGCCTGAACTCTGAACAATGAACTTTGTCCTGCAGTGTGAGTTTAATGAAAAAACAACGTGCCATACTGGTGGTGGTGACACTCCCCTTACCCCTCACACTCCTCTTGTGGGCACTCTTACCCCGGAACTGGTAATGACAGTCCAGCAATATTTCAATCTTTTGGAATATCTATTTTTGTGATAAAGATATCTCTACTCTTTTACCTGCGGCCTCTTTTGTAACCTTTATGATTAACATTTTAACTACTGTATCTCGTTTAAATTAAATCTAATTGATTTTGGAGCTTGAAGCTCACCTCTCTGCCCCATCTTTTTGTCAAAAAGGAATTGTAATGTTCTTTTAGTGTTGGTGTTGGTGGGAGTGCTGTCATGAGGCTTATGGAGTCTGGCTGCTCTGCTAGCCCCCGGGTTACATTCATTTTGATCAAACTGTCCCATAGACCGTAACAAATCAATAATTTATTTCATAATTCTCAGCTCTAGCTGATGATGAACAGAGTGTTAACTACTTCTGAGGGGTTTCCAAATGATAGATGACTGAAATATTCATGTTTATGGATTCTTAAGATGAATAAATCCTATAAAAGCCTGTGTGATTATCTGATAACTGCAATGCCACAAAACAGAGGCAGGAAAGTTTTTCTTATTTCATGTAAAGATACACGTTTAATGGTGAATTACATTACAGCACTTTGAAAAACATGAAGACTGAAACCAAATTGTAACGTTGATATTACAGTTTATAGAGTTGAGAATTTTTTGTTTTTGGGGGTGTACTGATCTAGACTTAAACACCCAATTTCAAAATATGAACAATGATTAAAGACTTAAAATTTGTAAGTTGTTTTTTTTCAACCTATCATTACAGAAATGTTGCCTAACAAACTTGAAACAGTTTAATAAGAAAAGGTGATTTAAATATTTGTGCAGATGTATTATAGGGGCTTCAGATCTTTTGTTCCTTTTGGTATCAGCCGACCTATCAACCTCCTTAGTGCCCTCTCCGCAACCACACACACACGCACACGCACGCACGCACGCACGCACGCACACACACACACACACTCCAGCTCACGGGAGTAACAAAACAGCCTCTGCATCACTTCAGTGGTTTCACTGTCTGTCTGGCACATTGTTTACTCCTCACTTATTGCTTACCCAGTCAGCTTGGAAACCTCAGAGCTGCTGCCAGCTCAGTTGCCCATACCAAGAGAGAGAGAGACAGAGGCAGAGAGTAAGTGGAGACATTTAACACTCTAACCAGCAGAGACACAGAGACGGCTTGAGAATACAGTTTTAAGAAATGATTCATCCTTGCAGATTGGACAGGCTCCTCATGTCTTTATTTCTGCCTGTGCTAACAAACTGAATGTTAAAGAAAGTGGAAAGTGAGAGAGGAAGACTAATGTTCACTGACAGAGATTTGAAACCAGTAAGACTTATGTTTGAGTGACAGAGAGGAGTTACAAATCTCCTTTGAATCAACTGTTTTTAAGATGTGACACTGGCTGTATTTCTCTTTAAGCACACACACACACAAAAGATGCAATCATTCAGTGTAGACAATGAAATGTTCTCTGGCTTTTATTTCTTTATATAAGTTGAGATATAAAGTCTGTTTTTAGCAGATCTGTCACATCAGATCTGCCACATGGAAGCCACATATTGATCTGCCCTTGAGCTGGCAGTTGGCTTGCAGTGGCGTCCTCCAGGCCCCCTGGGGAACATGTGAGGAGGTCGATCCTGGCCTCATCACGCCGCCTTTTTTTTTTTTTTGTGAGTCCCCTTTGCGGATCAGGGAGAGGCCCCAGCTGAAGGTCTCAGGCCAGCAGACACACGCCAATATTTGGGTGGAGCGGCTGGGCGCAACATCCCATCCGTTCCACCTCGCTGCCTCCTTTCTTAGGGGTTAACAAGAAGCGTTAACTGTTCTTTCCCCCCCACTTTGAAAACACTCACACAGAGACACACATGCACTTAAACATAGATTCATACATACAGACAACACACACTAATAGAGACCCCACATGTCTTTGAATCCAGATTGTTATGGCAGTTTGTCCTCCTTCTGCCCTGCCTTCCCTCCCATTTTTTTTTTGTTTTGGTGACCTCCAAGAGTCTTTTGTCTGCACCATACTTTCAAATCTCTGTTTATTTGCCTCGGTTTAATTGTCTCGTCGGCGAGTTCTCTTTGAAATTGCTTGGTTTGCACATTTTGCATCACAATTGGAGCCATTGTTCGGCAAGTTCATCCTTCTGTCCAGTGCCAGCTTCACCCTATTCAGAGAGGACTGTTTCATCTTTTTATGCATGTCTGCATTGTCTTTAAAAATCCATAAATTAACCTTTGATGAAGCACTGTGCCCATTCGGGCACCCACATGTCCGCATGCTTGACTGGACATAGCCTGTTACAGGCATGATGTCATGGCTGAAGAGAGGGAGTTTTTGGAGCCGCCTCTTGTTGACATCCAATTAACAACACGCTTTGAAGTCTTTCAGTCGGCTTCAAAAAAGACTTATGAAGATTCATTATGTCACTGAAGTGTCTCTTTCAGGGCAGACCCCCTGAAATATTTTATCTAATTTTCTGTTATTTAGACATTCATAACACTGTGTTTAAATATTTTGAACATGGTGTTACAACAATCAACAGACCTGAGGAAGTGTTCATTTCATATTCATGAGTTTCACTTGCAAAACATTCAGTCAGCTGTTTCTTTCGTGTATCTTGTCAGCATTACATGTCACACCCTCCCTACAGCTCACTGTCTCGCACATAAACATATGCAAAAACACACACACACACACACACACACACACACACACTATACAGTACATATTCATCCATCCATCTTCCTCAAACATCCTCCAGGTAACATGTCTTGTCTCCTGCCAAGCTTTAGCAGGAGGAGGATACAAAGGTGAGTGGTGAGGCATGAAGAGCAGCGAGAGGATAACAAGTAACTTCCCAAAGAAGAAAACTGGTGTTTGATTGTGCAGATGTGAAACTTTATTTATAATACTGCCAGTCAAACAGTCAGTCACACAGTCAGTCACGAGTCAACGAATTCAAGTTTTTAGGTATTTTTGGAGTCTTTGTGTTATGAGCACAGTTAAAGGGCGTCCATGTCTTAAATCCATAATACTCCACTTACACAGAAGCTATGTGCATCAGCTGTAGGTTCCACTCCCAGCCTCGTCCTTTTGGTCCACCCTACTCTCTCCTTCCCACATTTTCAGTCTCTGTTAAGCTGCCTGAACAGTAAAGGCTAAACAGCCTGAAAAAAAGAAATGAAACAAACTCAAACAGTAAGGTCTTTGTATTGGTAGATTTTTCCAGAGCTTTCAAAAACGTCCCTTTTATAACTCATCCACAATTAAAACATGATCTCATTAGTCCTGTCCTTACTGGTAAACAAACCAACTGAGGAAATCCAGAGGAGAGATGGGTTTGAAAGTTACAGAACAAGATTATGGAGCCTGAGCTAAGATTGACCTTTTTTAGTTAACCCGTTCCAATGTCATGAACCTGTTTTTGTATCTGTATTAAGCATCAGTGGTTGATAATTTGTTTTACATCCTTTTTTTGTCATCCTTTCTCTCTTTTAACGAGTTCAGTAACCTACAATTTGAAATCAATGTTCATTTTCTTTCAAATAAAGAGAAACATTCAAGTTAGCAAAGGTTGCAAATTAAAAATGCTGTTGAGTAATGTCAGAATTTTATGATGGGTTGGATGGTTTGATCACCACAGAAATTATGTCTAAGTGGCAGAGATGCAAAAAAAATGTGGAGGCTGCAGGCGGCACATTGAGAGCCACCTCCCTGAACTTGAGTGTGGGTACATTCCTCTCTGCTTCTCCTCCCTGCCAGTCTGAAAAAAAATCCGCCAGACACAGACTTCTCCACACCCAACGCCCAGTCTGACAGGCACCGTTCTTCTCACGTAAGGTATGGAGGTATAGAGAAGCTGAGCTGAGCTCAGCTGCACAACAAAAACGGTTTGAAGGTTATAATGTGTGCACGTCTTCCAAACGAGTACCAGAGCAGCAGAGACTCACACTTCACATCCCAAATAACCAGCGATATCGCTCCTACAAGTGGGGGATTAGTAGATACAGAGGAAGCGCATGTGAAAAACCGACATCAGAAGGAGATAGGTGTTACTGCTAACATCAAAAGGAATCCTGAGCTGCACTCGGAAACTATCTCAGGCATGTTAAGAGTACCTGTGATTATATGGTGACCCAAGTGCCTTTAAAGACACTGCAGCAGAATTCCACTCATTCCCATGAAAAACAGGGGCCATACAAGGAAATATGTTTGTTCAGATATTTATTGATGAATTACAAGCTGCAGAAGATGAAGTAACAGATGGTGTACCAGTAAGAGCTTTATATATCGCTGTATTTCATATTTACTTCGATATATTTGGAAAACTGCAGAGTTGCACACAGAGTAATTTTTTAAGAAGGATAGAGAATTTGCTACAAAAAGGGCTTTGATTATTCACACTACCCAAGCTGGGTTAAGACAAAGTTACAAAAAATTAAGACAATGAAGAGGTTTCTTTGTACAAAATGTGCAAAATCAAAGGCTTCTACAAATGACAAAAGTAAAAAAAAAACAAGCTGTACACACAGAAGACTTCCATTAAAGGTCCTGAAAAAGTACATGACAAAATCAACATTATAGCTACAAAGTATTTACTGTCTACTTTCAACATATTTAGCTTTTGTTATTGAAGTCAGAAGGAAACGATGGTTAGTTATTCAGATTTGGCAACCTTTCTGTTTGAAATATGACCACTGCCACAGCAGTATCATACTTTTCCATTGGCGAAACATTGTCAATCAATGCACTCTGAAACCAAGAGATTCTATAAAATAGTTTATCACAAAATAATACATTCACAAAATAATTATTTCAAAACAAAAAGAAATCTTACTCTTCCTTGTACAAATACATGCATACTCAACATAACCCTGAGACACAAAACACAGACGTAAAAACAAAAAAAAAAAAAAAACAACTTCAAACAAAATCGCATCTTCTTCAGCCATAATGGGCCACATTCTCTGTCTCTACAGAGCGTGTATTTTAAGTCGAGGAGGATGATACAAATTTAGTTCACCAAAATTGAGGGAAGCCCGAGTCCAAAGTCTAAAAATATAGACAGGAAGATTGTTTCTGTGCACAAAATCATACACTACCCTGAACGTCTGTTCTCCTTCCCCATGTGCCGGTTACAGCAAAGGTCTAATTCAGTCTATCAGCAGTCCAAATAAATTACACCTGAGGAAACGTGCGGTGTCAGAAGGCGAGGGAAACCACATAAAAAGGACAGCGTGCTTTCTTTTTTTTGATGTCGTGCCAGCGACAGATCCTTATGGAGTCTGTTAAACTGGTAATCTACTGGTTTGATGATGGAGTTAGTCAGTGGAGCAGTGTGGGCTGAGACAGTCACAGTAGAAAAAGTAAGAAGGTCCAAGAGCAGACATCTTTACTATCTTGAGACGCTTGTGCAGTACATAGCAACGAGTCCAGCTCAGGCTACCTACATGGGAAAGTTACACGAGCAGTATCAGTAAACAGATCAGGTGGAGAAGAGGCCGCAGACTTTTAGTCTCTGGGCTGTTTCATGGCAGTTGCAGCTGAAGATAATGTGATTCTGGCTGCATGAAGCCACAGCAGGAATACACAAACTCTTCCTCTCCGTCCTCCTCGGCAAAGTGGGAGTACACATGGCTGCATACCAGACACCGTGGCCGATCTGTGGAAGGAGACACAGAGAGATTAATGTTTAGGTGCTGCTGTATGGGGACCAGCCACATGACCTGGACAGTCTCAGGGAGCAGAGAGGAATGCAGGAACACCAGTCCTCCTCCGGGCTACACATCAGCTTATCACCAAGCCATTTTATCAGGCTTACCCACATAGTGTTAATAATGCCGCTGGACGGAGCATTATTTAACCAAAGGCCTGCTGGTATGTGGGATTAGGCTGAGCCATTTATGTTGCTAGGTAATAAACATCGGATGATGGCAGAGGAGAGGACCCCAATCTGTGAAAATAAGCTTCTCAGGACTCAGTTAAACATACACAAACCATCTGCTTCATCCATACGCTCAGAACTCAAACGGTCAGAAGCTTTGGTTAGGTTCAGATTGTGTTGATGTTTAGCATCACCACCTTTTACGACAAATTAAAAAAAAAAAAAAAAATGTTCATCTTTATTCTCTGCTACCCCAGATAACATTTCCTCTACTGCTGTTCTGATGTTGTTTTACACTGAAGCAGCCCAGCATGACGTTTACCTCTGATTTGCATATTCACGATGATAACTCAGGCCTGTGGATGAAGGATGTTTGTGTGCTCTCTTTAGTGGGGAGAAATCAGTTGACAGTTACAGGCATGCTCTGCTGGGGGGGAGGGGAGGGGGAGGGGGGCTTGTTTGGAGAACATAATGAGTTCTCGTTTCTATTTCCTCACAAAGCTGGTTGATACTACAGAAGCCTCCACTGATCCAAGCACAACCGCTACTGTTGTGAATACATCGCCCTGAAGCCTGACAGTAGGACACGACACAACAAGAAGAGAAAAGAGGTGACAAACAAGCTTCAGAAGAAGAAACAGGAGGATAAAAAACATCTTGCACTTCGACTATCAGGCTGATGCTGTGCAAACTTATCTATTTTGTCATGAACCTGAATAGGCCTCTTAAAAGACAGGTCTCTACAAAACACACATACTAACAAAACATGGCCCATTCAAATTACATTTTTTAAAGCATACACGTACCTTATTTTAGCTTTGTAAATAAATAAATACAAGCTTTGAACAGAAACAGTTTTGAGCAATAGAGCAATATTTTGCCTGGAGCTAGAAAGAAGATAGGTACCAACTCTCTGTAAGTGTATCTCAGTTAAATATGATGCTACAGCCAGCAGTTATTCATCTCGTCTAAGCTTAACTTAAGTAAGAAGAAGAAAAAAAGAGGCAAGCCTGGCAAGGCAAGCCAGCAAGCCTGTCTGTCAAAAAAAAAGCAACAAAATCCCCCTGAAAGCTGCTCTTAAAAGATAACTTATTAACACACTTCATTTCATTTTAATTCTCAAAAATGTGACGCCAGCAAGAAGCCTGTTAGCTTAGCCAAGCACAAAACTGGAAAAAAAAGAGAACAGTTCATTTGGCTGTTTTCTAACAGGTCATACTATCCACACACCAACAACTCAGAATCTCACATGTTTCATCAATTAATCAATCCCCTTTGAAATCATACCCAAAAAAAAAGGAAACGGGAGGAAACAGCCAGTTTCTTGTCACTGGTTAGCACGTTTTATCTCATTTTAAACCTCAAAAACTTGAGTGAAAACCAACACCACTTTTCATAAAAGCTGCAGCTTTATGTGAAGTCATTTATCAGTATCTACAGCACAACGACAGAGACACTCATAGAGACACAGGCTGAAGCAGAGAGGGTGTCAGTCTGTCATCATCAGGACATCAAAAAAATAAAACACCATCCCTGTCTCAAATGATCCAACTTAGCTCCCTCTGCAAACACAAGACCTCTGTCATTATTACCTGTCATGTCAAGGGTTAATTACTCACAACACTGATTTGTGGCGGCTCCAATTCTCTCCTTTTCCAACATTTCAAACCACAACACTTCATTCTGACTAAAATAACCAAAATTGACCTTCAGGAATCTGACCTCCATCTGCCAACAGGGTACTACAATTTCTTGTATGTGGGATGCGAACAGGTTTAAAACACCTTGGTGCACTGCAGTGGCCAGCGTGTGCTGTTGTGAGGGATGCAGGGAGCCCCCCCGTGTCCTTCAGCAGAGCGAACAGATGGCCTGGGACTTCATGAAGTGATTGGCTCTGACACGCCGCGGTTTAACCTGCCGCAGTCTGTCTGCTCCCATCAGCTATCTCTCTCCTCCATTTGGGAACAATACCAAATTTCAGTGACCAAAGTAAAAATAATTACTAAATCTAAAACTTTTTTTTTTCCGGTTTAAAAATTGCACAGTGAAGGAGGACGTGTGCGCTAAGACTTCTTTCACATTAATCCTCCACACGTCTCTTTTAGCTCTTTTTTTCCACTCCTTTTTGTACTTTGGGCTCCATCTGCGTCTTCTATAGGCCCAATTACCCACAATGCACCTGACCACACTAATGCTGAGTCCTCTTTCTTTATCTGTCCCTTGTGTCCAACAAGGTCTGTGCTATGTTTACTAATGACCACCCAGACTTTCACTGCATTGACTAACGTATGAATCACCGTCACTTCATTTACATGAGTTTGCGTCGTTTTTCAGGGACTAATGAAAGGACTTCGGCTCGAGCCAAGAGACACAAGTATCTCCGTAAAGCAGCTGCAGATTACATTGAGGCATTTCTTGATGAATCCTTACACAAACTCCAGTTTAAGACTCGAACAAAGAGCATCTCTGTGCCTGAATGTGCGCCACTCCAGCGCTACTTCAGAGGCGCAAATATTACGTAATTCAGATTAATTACCAGGCAGACACACTCAGTCCCATTCCAGCTGGCTCTCTGAAGAGGCCTCTGTAACTGTATGACAGCTCGTCCCTTTTTAAGGGTGTAATCAAATTAGTCTGGGTGATTATTCAGCCATTTTAGGCATCTTTTTCCCCTTTCCTTTTTGTTACTCGCCGCATTGGAGAAAAGACCAATAAAAACACCATTAGGTTTATGCTAATTTAAGCAGCCGTGCCAAAGACTGTAATGTGGTAGATTGATTACTCAAGGGACTGGGGACGAAGTGTGTGTGTGCACGTGCTGACTCTAACTGTGCATGTGTGTGTCTGAAGTGAGCGGGGACAGGAGAGGGGAGGGGGGGGGGGGGCTTGTTGTACACAGATGCCACAATAAAAGCCTCATTCAGATGTGTTCCTGGTGGCCCTCACAGCGAGGCATTAATAAAACATTAGTATCGAGTGACTGGAGGTCTCTGCACTCCTCCTCCCTGATCCCACTGTGACCTTCCCATTTTACAGCAGCTGTCTAGGGATGCGGAGAGCCCCACGAGGACTTCCCCCTGTGGCCCCTGACCCCTCCAGGTGGACCCTATCACACACAGCGCTGGGGCCACATCATGAGGATGTCGGTTGAAGCCGTTAAAAACAGAATGCTGCTTATATCTGTGATTATTGTGGGGGGGAGCGTGAAGGGGAGATGAGGAGGGAGGGGTAGAGGGGGGGGGGGGCTTAGAAAACAAGAGCTCAAGCGTTGATAACAGTCATCTTTGGGACTGTTACACTCCAGTGATTTAAAGGCGAGAGAGACAGGGCTGAACTTTGTGCAGAGATCTCTGGTTACATCCTGTCTGGCATCAACAAGTGACCAGATCACACAGTACAGCTACTCTGCTAACTAGCTTCAAAACACACTCAATATATCAATTAAAGCCTGACTTGCAACACTTCTTCAAAATATCTCCATTCATTTTGTCCGTCTGTCTTCCAAGTCTACAGCTTAAAATCATATTTACTTCTCCTGCCTGGAGCGTAACAAAAAACGAAACCATAATGTTTTAACATTTACAAATACTTTTCCATCAACTGTGGCTTCTGGTTTTGGCCCTCGAGTCTGCGGCAAGTCACATCTGGTGGAAATGCACAGGGCTGCACACTGCAGTAGGTGGTAACAAAAAAGGGCAGAGAGGCTGCTAAGCCCCTGTACAGGCCACAGGACAACAACTAGGCCTGAACCACGAGGCAGCATTAACACATCTTTACTTATAGGAATGCAGGCCACACCTTCATTCCCCCGGAGTTAGAGTAAGGATGGTTGGCTTTTTAAAAGGCCAGGCCATGACAGCAATGTGCCTGTGTGTGTGTGTGTGTGTGTGTGTGTGTGTGTGTGAGGCAGAGTAGTGCTAGTGGAAAATAAGTGGTTTCACTACTGCGTAATAACTCACAATACTACTAGTGAATACTTGAGCTGCTGACTGTTGGTTTTTCAGACCCATCATTGACATGAAAGGAGCGCTCATATGCAAGCACACACACACACACACACACACAAATGTACTACAATTATTTTCCTTTTTGACCCCCGCTGAAAGTTGACAACCTCGGGATAGGGGGAAGTATTTTTAGGCAGGCGTTAGTCTCGGCTGCCAAGCAGAGCAAAATATAGCTTTGCTTCTCCTGGTCTTACTCTCTGTCCTCTTCATCTCCTCTCTGTGTGTGTGTGTGTGTGTGTGTGTGTGTGTGTGTGTGTGTGTGTGTGTGTGTGTGTGTGTGTGTGTCACTTTGTTGCCCCCCTACATTTTTCCACGTCTTCTCTCTTGCCCCCTGCCTCAGCTGATAGAGAATAGCCAGCCTCCTTAACAAGCTGGAAATCGGAGCTGTTTCCACGACTGCAGTAATTAAACATAAAGGCAGTGAGCTTCTGGATGGGAGCTACTGTAGCAGAAAGAGTTCATAGGGATGCTGTGCTCTTGATCTTTCATAGACAGCCTGTCTGTCTCCATCCTGGCCTAGGAAAAAAAAAAAACTGGAACCATGAAGATAGCAGTTCATAGCAGCAGCCGCATAACACTAAGCCCCCTGCTCTGTCATATACAGTTTACTGAAGACACAAGGCACACATAAACCCAACTCTCCTCGATCACGTCCGCTCAGCTTTACTTTGAAAAGTCTTGGAAACATTAAAAGAGCTTTTTTGGACTCATTTCCCCTGATTCATTACAGAAAAGTAGAATCTCACAGTGCCACCACTCAAAATAAGTTGGCAGTTCCAGGCTACTTGAAGCAATAGTTTGACATTTTGAAAGCATTTTTTTTAGTTAGATGAGGAGATTATTGGTAAATACAACACTGGGGCAGTAGGATGCCTAGCTTGGCTTAGTATTAAGAGTGGAAACAACTTCCGTGGAATGTTTTTCCATCTGACCGAGCCAACACAACTATTTCCCCGTTAGCAGTTTTTGTCCTAAACTAGCGGCCTGCTAGCTGCAGCCTTCTTCAAAACAGATATGAGAGAGGTTTCAACCTTATACCTCACTATGGACAAGAAACTAAGTAAGTAAGTGAGGATGTTGCACAAGTGAACAATTTAAGTCAATCAATCGATCACCTTTTGGCAGAATGTGCTGCTTAACGCAATTTAACCTCTAGCACAAAACAATACAGTATTGTAGCGACAGCTATGTGAAGCAAGTGTATGTTTTCATGACAATAAAAAGCCTGTCTTTTTTTTATTATTACATTTCCAATTTCCGATAGAGGCCAAACCAAAAGAACTAATAATTTAACAATATACAAGAACCTGACTAGATCCCTTACACCATCGGGCACTCCAAACAAACCTTTATAAAAAATACTATTACCTCTTCTAGTTTCATCTACTTGCCCCTCCACCTCTTCTCCCTCACATAGCAAATATTTATCATCTCTTGTCTCACATGAAGCTGTGAAAGCTGCTGCCTGTCATTCCTTCGGGACGAGCGATTCCTTTTCTGTCTGTTACATTTCTGTCAATCACACTTTCATATCTCTGAGAAACATCCTTCACTTTTTTCCCCCGACCTACCTCCCTGAATCCTGAGCTCACTGATCTGCTCTGAATATTTCACTGTGAGAAGAACACTACGCCAGCATCCTTCACCAGCACATACAAAACTGAAGTTGGTTTTTATTGTTGTGTTTTTTTCTTTTTTATATGGACGTTGCTTTGTGATTTTATATGGTTTAATGAACATACATACAATAATGAAATGGTTGTTTTAACTTGCCTGAAGATCTTCATGTCACCTTTGAGGTACTGACTCATAATAGAGTCCAGGTCGGTCCCTGCAGAGCATCTGGCCCACTTGCCTCTCTGAACTACAAGCGTAGACCTGATCCCTGACTCTCCAGCTAGCTCCCATCAGGGACAGGGGTCCTGAGTTGTAGCTCTTGCTCTGTAATTACGGGCACTGCTAACATTCCTCCTGCTCCACAAACCCAGACATCACTGTGTTTATCCAACACTCTGCCGTCAAGGCAGCTAGATAATGTGTAACTGTAACCACTAGCAACCCGGAAAACAGTGAGGGGTTTTAAAAACTGGCCTGATCCAGTTCCCACTAACATTCACCTGAGGCTGTTAAATACTGGTGTTGTTTGAATGAGTTTCCACACAGTATGTTGCAGTAGAAGGGACACTATGCATGGGACATCTAATTGACATTTATTTATTTCACTTTAAGGAACCTTGAAATGACTCACCGTAAAAACATCAGAGAGTCAGAGCACCTGTCTCTATGCTGGGAGGTACTTCCATGTGCTGACGAAAGCAGTGGGAATGAGTGAGTAGGGCACGCTGGTCACACTGTCCCAAGAGTCTGACGATGGATCATAGCAGTCTAATGTCTTACACCTCTGAGCTCCAAAGTAGCCCCCAACCACATATAGTCTGTTTCCTGATGCCACCGCATGGCAGCTGATCCGTTTGGCCGTCACGTCACCGAACTTCGACCACTGGTACGTCTCGCTGTTGAAGCGGTAAGCAGAACTGGCTGAGAATTCAGTGTCCCCTCCAATCACCACAACGTGGTTTCCGACCACAGCCGCTGCGGTGTAGCGCCACAGCTGCGGGCAGGCTGCTGGCACTGACCACCGGTTTTGGCAAGGGTCAAAGCACTGCACCTTGGGGTATTTGTCCCTGTTTACACTGGTGCCCCCGAAGGCAAAGAGTTTGTTTTTGGCACCGACTACGGCAGCGTTGCTCACACCCTCTCTGAGCGGAGCCACCAGGGTCCATTTGTTGGTCTGAGGGTCGTACTGCTCCACCTGTTTGAGAGACACAGATGGAGATGCAGGGAAGGACCCTGCGAGCGAAGTGTGTCCTCCCACGACGAACAGCATGTGGTCGAGCTCTGCTGATCCATGTCCGAATCTCGCGACCAGCATAGGCGCAGCTTTGGACCACTCATCGTGTAATGTGTCATACACCCAGACGTCTTTGGAGGCTCCGTTTTCAGACCCACGCCCTCCAGTAACATAAACCTAATGTGGAAGAAATGATATTAAGAGTGCGTCTATATACCTCCAGATAAAAAAAAATAAAAAAATCACCATGTAAGATAGTACGTATACTATACAAACCTTGCAACCAATAGCACACGCGCTGCATTCTTTCCTGGGGCTGGGGATGTCTGTTTTGGGGCAGATCTCCTTGGTCTTGTTGTCAATCATGTAGATTTTATCACACATGAAGGTCTGTCCTCCTAGTAGCAGCAGTGCCTGGCTCACCTTCCTCGGCCGGGCACAGAACCCCGTTACAATCCCGTCGTTCTGAAGGATCCTCATTTTGCACCGCACCGCGTCTTCCACAATCTCCCGCCCCACCTTGTGGCACATCACCAGCTCCTCTGAAGCCACATTCTTCAGCAGGTATGTCTCAGGAAGCAGCGCCAGGCGGACGCACCGCAGGAGCTCGGGCAGCTCGCTGTGTCTGCGCTCCATATCAGCCTTCACCCAGTCAATCACAGCCTCGTACACCAGGCTCTCGTCCTCCACCTCCAGCTCCTCGCTAAGAATCAGTTCCTGGACTTTGTCTCTGGGCAGGCTAAGGAAGTCCTCTGTTTTGAATAGAGTGGCGAAGTCAGCCAGGCACATCCTCCATGACAGCTCGTACAGTCTCTGGCACTGATGGGCATCCGACAGCAGCATCATCCCAAAACAGTTCGATTGGTGGAGGTTCTTCTCTAAAAACTCTGCTGCCGCATCCCTGATGTCGTGAAACTGAAGCATGTCGCCTGCCTCCAGGAGGGACTCTGCGTTCTCCTCGTTGATGATGACTCTGGCCGAGTAGGCATAATCGAGCAGGAGCTCCAGCACTTCAGGATGGAGAGAGTCGTGGAAGTTAACGTCTGCGTCTCGACTCTCCCTGAGACCCCCGCTGAACATGGCCTCGAAGTACCGGCTACAGGAGGCCAGCACGGCCCGATGGCAGGGGAACGATCTGTTTCCGGCCTTCAGGACGACGTCTGTGAAGACTTTGCGTTTGCGGAGCAGATTGAGCTGCGTCAACAGGCTGTCTGCGTGGGACGTCTTGTGGAAGAGCTGGATGTTCATCGAGCCCGAACTGGAGCGTGACTTTCTGTTTTCGTGGTTGCTGACAGACATCTTGACGCCAACCTGGAGAAGGAAACAAGAGAATAACATCATTACAGCTGCTCTTTTTTTTTTTTTTATGCCACTGATTATGACAGCGGCACCAGGATACAAGACTTTATGAGGGTCAAGCCAACTTTCTTTTGATGTGAACGCTACCATAAAACCTTCCTACTATTTTTGTTCAAACATACATCACCATGCCAACAGCTGATAAATGGGCAGTTCAGAAATAAAATACTCTTATCAGTACGCTGAGGTACAACGGAAATGAACTTCAGACTCTAGAGATGAAAGCGGCTCAGATAAGGAAAACTCCAACTGGAAACAAGCGTGTTCACTCACTGCATGACACAGAGATTTACACTAGGAAACATTCAACAGTGCCAGAAACACATTCTCAAATGAGCAACTTTAACAGGCTTTTAACGCTTCCTACTGTGATTAATGAAAGAAACAACACCTGGGTGTGTTGTACTATATCACTTCTTCCCACCCCTATGAACATGTGAGGGCTGTGAGTCACCTTCAGCCACGGGAGGAGCCAAGACATTCCTGTCAACTTATTCTCTGCTCCTCGGCTGGCTCAAATACAACACGGTGCCAAAGGCGAAGCTTTAAAGCCCATTTAACATGTGACACCTCAGACCAGCTCCTTGGGGTGGAAGATTATGCAACCACAGTGCAAGAGATGAACCCCCCCCCCCCCCCCCCAATTTTTCTTTTGATCAAGTTTGATTCATGTGGATAGGCCCGCAGCAATGGCATGAATTTTAAATAAGAGGAACTTAAATGCATGCTTCAGGGATTTTCTTTCACTTAATTTCGTCTGAATACTGTGATGAAATAACGTGCCATCGTTAGACAAGATCGCATTGATTGTAAAAAAAAAAGAAAGAAAAACTAATCAAACCATTTAAATAACCAGAGCATGGTAGACTGCCCACAATTAAAAAAAAAAAAAAAAAAGGGCTAATAAATATCTTCCGCTTTAAATCGTCCTTTGTTTTAAAGCAGATACATTTAAGTGGACTTTTCAAATGATGTGACCTCCTTGGACGGACGCAGTGTGAAATCTAATTCGTTTTGCGCAGTAAATGTGAAACTACGGTCAGCATTTCAACATGCGCTCAACTTTCCTCCCAAGTTAGCAGCAGCCTGCAAACAGCCAGCCTGCTACAAACAGCCAACATGAAAGGGTTCAGTGTTACAGCCTGTAACTGAGCTCCTCACACTCCGGAAAGGTTGAGAAACGTCCAACAAACACGCATGTCAGGGATCGATACTTTGAGCCGGATTAGGTTTTTACCTTGATAGGCGCAGATCAGATCCGGGATTCCTTTATCTCGGTTACAACTTCCTCCGTTGTTGCTTTGTTTGAAGTTTGACACAAGTTAGACAAATCCACCTTCCGGTTTAAAACATGTATCGTCCCCAAAGCTTTCAGCAAATTGTTGAGCCATTTGTTCGCGTGGCGAGATTTGAGTTTACACACGCGTAGAAAACAAAGTAAAACAAAGTTCGCTGCTCGGTGTGTTGTCGGCTTAAAGCCACGCAGCCTGCTGGAGAGTGACGAGCAGAGAAAGAGCCGAGGCAGCCGTAGTGTTCAGGCTGGCTCCTCCTTCTCCTCCTGCTATTGTCCAATGGGCTGGAATTTAAAATAAAAAAAAAACACCACATCTAAAGACTTTCTACTTCATCCAACTTTAGCACATCAGCATTGAGGAAAAAGCACTGCCAGAAAAACTGCACAAGTCTTTGTCTCCGTGGATGTCACCTGATTCTTCCACTAATAGACCAAAACATCAAAATGATTTGCATGAGACATGAAAACATTAAAAGGCATCAATAAAAGTTAAATGTTTAGGCTATATAGGCCACATATATCCTACATTTTTTTTAAAAACAAGATTAAAAAGAAATGCAAGAAAGTGAGATAGGCTACATGCAGACCTCAGGTTTTTGAAAGGTAAAGTTTTAAGTATGTGGTTATGTTATTTAATTTACTTGACTGATTAGTCATATTGTCTTAAGAATTTAACAACCAAATGTGTCTACATGCCATCTACACACTGCAATACATTACATGTTTGGAGAGATATAGCCTACTGAAGTATTGTTTTATTTGTCATATGACTCGTTTAAATGTTTTTTTATATTTAAACATGTCGAGTCTAAAAATACATTTTATGAACAAACGCCAAAACACAAGTTAGCCTGATCTATGAAAACTCTGAAAAGAAAGAAGATTAGATACATGTCTGACACATGGCCCGTTGCCCTTTTGACAGTGGCTGTACATTTCTGCTGTATGCTTATTGGATTTTTGTTCAAACAAAAAATCTAAATGACTTCATCCTAATAATACCTCCTCTGCTCTGGCATCATGAGGCACAAGCACAGTCCTCCCTCTGCTATAGCCAGCTCCACACAGCCCACAGTCTGAGTGATCATATGATGGCAGGTTAAAGTCCCTGTGAGGACCATGAGATCGGTCTCAAGCTGAATTCCTGACATTTTCTGCAGGATTTAAATTCTTGTGAGTTATCAGGACAAGATGGAGGTCAGTTACGAACCAGCAAAGTCAGCCTGCACATAAAAGGAAATTCACAGGCTGCTTGGTATGTGCGTTTTCCAAGTATTTTACAATATTTATATTTACAAGTAATCGATACATAAAAGTGATCCAATATAAAACAGATAATGCTGGATTTCCAAGGAGTGCAGATTCAATAATTAAGATTCTTTATCCAGACAAGGTACATTGTTCGGGCATGTCCCCACAAAACTACACGTGTAATGAATGCCATTGAAAATGTCTTGTTTTCATTTAGGCATGCCAGCTCGAATGCCCTGCGACTGTGCATGCATACCCATTGGTTCACAGAAAATGCAATGAAACAGAGACATTGTTCATTTAAATAGCTGCACCTGTTCTTTTTTATTATGTCTGTTGTGAAAAAAGCTCCTGCTAAAGTAAGCATTATACAAAAAAAAAAACAACACTCGGGAATGTCAAATTGAATGTTGCTGATAAACTTGAGACAGTTAATGGATCAGTGCTCTGGAGAAATAACTCAGTCTCTTGAGGCTGTCCATTCTCTGAGCTGTGTGATCTCCAACAGCACAAACACTACCGACAGAGTGGATGCCACACAGCTCAGGTTTCCCCTCCCTCTTACTCACTCCCTCTTACTGTCACTCAACAGCTGCTTTTTAAGATGAAAAGCTGCTGCTGTTTCCAGACTGTCTGTGTTTGTGTGCATTGGTGATCATGTGTGTCCATTTTTCACTCAGTGTGTCTTTAATCCAACATTTTCTCATAATTTCCCTTTATATACGACTGCTACCCATATCTCAAATCACCATTATATTCATTTTTTCAACACATAAAAGCCTCTGACAGCTAACAGTCGTGGATGACCTCAAAGTTTGACATCATAAACACATTTATGGGTACTTCACATTCTGATTGTTGCTGCTGTGCCCTTGTAGCTCACTGGGTCGAATGCTTTCATACACACAAGTGTGCCTAAAGGAGATTAAGAATTTAAGAAGATTAGATTAATGAACTCATGATTGTAATCTAGGGTTAATTCATTTTGCTGCACTTTAACCCAACCCTCCCCTCCCCCACCCAACCCAGTGGCCTGAAGCCAAACTGGTCTGAAGACTTATGCGTCTGCATGTTTGTGTGTGTGTGTGTGTGTGCGTGTGTGTGCATGTCTGAGTGTTTGTGTGTAGCATTGTATAACTGTTCATTAATTACTCCCCCCTCAATCTATCTTAAATGCCCCCAGCATTACATCTAGCCTCTCACAGCCTCCCCTGTTTAGTTGACAGTAACTGTCGACTCCATTGTTGCCTGCAGACTCACTGTACCACATATTTATTCACTCAAGGCAGGTGGTCTCCTCAGTGAGGTCATCCTGTCTGAAACATAAGGAGAGGGGTCCTCAGAGGGGGGTCACCCAAATGGCGAGGACTCAACACAAAACAATGCAGAATTTTCTTTAGACTTTCTATTTTCTGCCGTTGGCCCCTGCTTTCCACTCATGGCTACCCAGACAAGTCTGAAGGATGAGCTTTAGCTGAACTTATATTAACATCTGCAGAGACAAGTGTATTGAATGATGAAAATAGTCACTTATTATTGACAGAAAGAACAAAAACGTCCAATTCAAGTATTCTTATTGAAATGACACAAAGTGGAAGGAGGGTCACGCTGACATGCATGGTTGCAAAAATAAAAGAATTGTTTACATCACAAATTACAAGTTTTATACTAAACATCAAACCAGACTAAAATTAAGATTTACTTTATTGATTGAATAATGACCGAAATCATGACAAAACTAAACAGAGTAAAATAAACAAGACATAACCATTCTTAAGAACAGTTATGTATCTGTTAGGATTTTCCTTGAAAAAGAAAGTCTAAATTTAAGTCTTATTGATTTCATGGAATAGTTTGACTTGAAAGACTCATTGGAGTTTATCTCCACCGTGTGGCAAACGAGTGTAAGTGTACATGTCCATGTGGTTTTTAGCAGAGATACGGCATGCTCTTTCAACATTTTGCCACTTACCCGTTTTGTTTTCTCATAATTAAATTTCAAAAGTCCAATTATAATTAGTTAATGCCCATCTGAAGTGTATGTGTCTTGTCTTGATGGTGTACGGCCTTACTGTTTCTTGAACTGTGTTTTCCACCTTCAGTTCTGTGCAGTCTTGGGTTTATCATCATTATAGCATTGCTTCTATGATTCCACACATAATGAAGTGATCCTGGTGGTGGTTATTCTTCCACTTTGCTTTTATTTAATTATATCTGCATCGTCTCGGACAATTTTGTAATTTTGAACTTATTCTTTCATGGCATCCTACCGTTCTTAAACAAGTTCTGAAATATTTTTGTGTCATAATATATGAGTCGCTGTGTTTGTTTACATCTTAATCAGATGTTTGAAATGTATCATGTGACCATGATGTCACATGACACCCTATTTATACACCTGTCTTAGCTTTATCAATTATGTCCTGACGAAGACTCAGTAGAGTCGAAACGCGTTGACAATCCCTCTTAAATTTTTAGATGTTATCAGAGTGCCTCGGACTTCTCCACACTTCATTTTTTCTCTTCTAATCAGGACAGTCAAACTTTTTTATTAGCTATTAGTCCAATTATTCTCTGATTTAAATAGTTCAGTTAGTCTAAATTTTAAAAACTAACTCTTAAAGGTTTGTTGACATGCAACAAATAATTCCCTTTTTATTATACAACAAGAAAGATAAGGCTACAGATAGCAACAACTTCATCTAACTGTGCAGAAAACAAATTGATTGCTGGAGGAATTTAAATCAATATTTGAAATATCAGTAATAGAAATTCAAACATGTTCAGTGGAAGTAAATAAATGCCAATACTGGTGGAGTCATTACTCTTGCTCTGATCCTCATCATTTAAACAGTATGAAGTTTTCCATATTAAACTAATGAAAACAACTCTGCTGAAATAGAATCTCATTTCAAACAAGTCCAACTGGTGGATTATTGCTCCTCAGTAAAAATATAAATTGGGAAAGTCATCTTTTAGCCTTAATTCTCATAATGGCTAACTGGCCTATGGGATTTGGCCAGGGATTCACATAAGTGTCTTCAGGTTCATCCTCAGCATTAGTGTGGCTTTTAAGCTTGGTCTCCGTTTTGGTCTAAATAGGTAGGCTTGTTTAAATGTGTTTTTTCGTTAGAGGAAGTGGCGTGAAGTCAATACCACTCTTCCAGCACGGATGAATTGGCTTCATCCTGTTCAGCAGGAGGAAGCGGAGGCAGGCTGTCCATTTGTACAAACAGTTTATGATGTGTGTGAGCATAGGGCCCGATTACTAAAATATGGAGCCTAATAAGTGGACTGACCCCTCCTTTATAAGTAGCCTAAAGCTTTTAAAACATTTGGGATTTAGCTATGAGCAGCATTTGTAGTAATCTAAATCCAGTTCTTACAGAGATATAAATATATGACGAAGGTAAAAATCAAAGCAGTGTTACTAGACACAATCTATTATGGATGTGTGACGACGGGACACGGGGCTTAAATAGTATCCAGTTTTCAAAAACTACACTTCCGTTGTTGGTATCATTTAACGGAAATGACGTATGTGGTCTTCCGCCGCTTTCAAGGGCATCAGAAACTTACATACTTAGCAGCAGCTTTTACACGTGCGCCTGAGAAGACCGACACAAGCTGAAGACTGAAGAAAGAGACTCTGGGTGAAAATGGACGGGTTCGGTTCAGACTTTTCTGCGGGTGGATCAGGAGGTAAAATGGATACTGGCACGATTATGGAGCAGGTTAAGGTCCAGATAGCTGTGGCTAACGCTCAGGAGCTTCTACAGGTAAGTCAATGGTCACAGGCTAGCTGCTAAGCCAGCAAGACGTATCCAACACATAGCCTGATAGTGTGTAGTTTTACATGAATGGTGTAAGCACATTTAATGTCGCCGTTCCCTGTCATAATGAGCACAGTAAATATCGGCTACAGACGCAGCAGTACATGTTTGTCATTGAAATGTTGTATGCTACTGTATGTTCACTACAAATACCATGACTCTCTAAACCTCTCAACCTGCACAGGTATTGACTCTTCAGTGTCATTTGCCTACAAAATTAAAGTAAACTAAGTTCTCAGCTGATGATGATGATGTTGCTGACTGCTGTTTTGAATACAAGTGTAGCTTTGAGAACTAAATTATCCTAAACATGTCCTTGTGTTTCAGAGAATGACCGATAAATGCTTCAAGAAGTGTATAGGTAAACCTGGGAGCACACTGGACAACTCGGAGCAGGTATGTGTGTTTGGCCGGAATAAGCTTTGTTTGTTTTGTGAATAAAAGTATCAGATCCGGGATGATAAGTGATTAAATTAAATCAATTTGACAATAATTTTTATTACAATTGGATCATTAAAAAAAAAAACTGCATCCACATTAAATAACAGTAGCTCTGATCACTCATGAACACTTGATTCTCATAAAGCTTAGACAAATCAGTCTTTTGGTTTGGAACAGGTGATCTGACAGATATAGCAAACCTTGAATTGTTCTAAAAACCTATGATGCCTTCCTCTTGTGAATGTGGCTTCCTTTGTCTTCACAGAAATGTATTGCCATGTGTATGGACCGGTATATGGATTCCTGGAACATCGTGTCCCGAACATACAACTCCAGATTACAGAAAGAAAGGGCTCGCATGTGAACACCCCCCCCCCGCTTTGTCAGCCTTCCTCAGGCTGATGCTTACAGTATGGAGGAGCGCAGTGTACCACTGGAGAACAAGCAGCTGTGTACTGGTGTGATGGTGCAGCACATCATCATCTGTCTACTGTCACAACACTTCACAGACAGACAGGCCTGCAGAGCCTGTGGACCACAGCCATAACAACCTCCTTCAGATATTTTCCCTTTATTCTCATGGACAGGATTTTTTTTTTTTTTTTTTTTAGTTAAGAATGATTATTCTTCTGGTAAATGAGTAAACATGCATTGTTAAATGAAATTTGCAGTTTGGACATGGAGGTGTCTAAACTGAACTTTTCGGTGAAGAATTCTTTAAATGTGTTCGGCTCTCACTTATAATTTTGCCAGGGTTGTAACGTATGTCTTGTGCAGTGCATCTGGGATATGTGTCAGTCCCCTGTATAGATGAAGCAGTTGAGAAAATATATGTAGCATAGTATTGTAATGTGCGTTGACTACAGTGTTGCTAAAGCTGACACCTTTTTATCTCTCTGCCTTGCTGAGGTCGCTTGTTTCTTTTTTATAAGAACGTGCATATTAAGAACACAATAACAATACCATTCATTTTAAAAAGGAATGAAGATACTCAGTAACTGCACTTGCTTTCTAAAACTGTCATCACTATGCTCATGTTTGAAGCCCTTTCTTTTCATTGTGCGTATGATCAGAGGGGGACTAAATATTTGTGCTTATTAGGTAAGCAGCACGATGTGAGCCATTAAGAGACAAAGCAGACTTTTCTAAACACGCTTCACGGCCTACTTAAAATCATTGGGAAGACTTGAGCAGAAACCCTTGTGTTTTCACAACTTGACATTAACAGGCCTACCAACAGGCCTATATCAGAGTACACCTGGAGAACAGAAATGTTTTGTCTGACCTGTTTTCTGCTTGTTACTCTATCTGCTGCCCTCCACAGTAGTGGGCTTGTTTCAGCAGAGTCTGCTTGCTGTACAGGGGGGGACTGAACCCTTTCTCAGCTTTGTGTGCACCGTTTGTCAGATATCTGGTAACCCCCTCGGAGTAGGGAAGTAAGAGCCAGACAACTCTTTAACATTATCTCCAGTGTGATTGTGAGCATATTTTCATGAGTAATCAATAAAACTTGTCAATCAGAGTTTTGTTTTTCTAATTAGTATGGATACAGAAGACCTTCGTCAAATACAGTTTTCATACAGAATATATTTTACCAAGACAACCCACTTACCTTTAATGGTTATAAAATATCTGCATCTTATTTTTTTAAAGAATATACATAAATAAAAACAAGTGTACCCATACATGAACCACATATATTCTGATCCCCACACAGAATGAAAAAAAAAAAATCTCTGCACAATACAAGTTTGCTGCACACAAAAAATAAATAACTGAAATAAATACTTCAAATCGTACACCCTCCAGAAGAATGTCCAAAGGCCTCTTGTTTTGTATGCTTGTTAATTCTTCAGTAGATTATGACAGAGGTTCCCAGCTCAAATTGATTGCACAGTATTAAAGAGAGCACCCATTTGTGTGTGTGGCTTTGAGAAGGCCTTAAGTCCTAGTACAGTACACTCCCTTGATAAGATCCAATGGGAAAATGCACTGTGTCCATGTAATTGGTCTTTTGTTGTAACCGATTCTACTCATTTTCTCTCTGTCTTTAGAAGGGAAGGTATGTAGATATCCATTTCCTGACAGACGTCACACGAGTATAAACCCCTGGAAAACCTGTTCGGCCACATCCGTGTCCCCAGCTGGTCACTCCAGCAATAAACCACTGCCCAGATCGCTGACGGCAGGTCAGCGGCCCTCCTGAGTCTCCCTGGATGAAGGAGATAGAGAGGGGATACTGATTAAAAGAGAAGCTTTTGACAGAAATTCAAACGACCATAATGCTCTGTTAAGAAGAATTATAGTGGATAAAAAGAGAGGAGGCAGTAGCGTGTTAAAAGAGAGCGAGAGAGTCACTGAGACGACAGATGTCCAAGAAAGGAATGCATTTACTAAGATTACAGAGGGGAGGCAGGTGGAAAAAAAAGAAGGGGTGGTTTTTAAAGAACAAAAGTCTAATCTTTGCTATTAGATAAGTATCTCCATGTAAGCTGCAATGTTTAACAAGGAACACTTGCTTTTCTACACCATGCTATAAATATTATGTATATGATATATCTCTTACCAAACAGCTGTCCCTGCCTCCCTCCATGTAACCTGCACACATCATGTTAGATGTCAGCACGGTTCCATATGACTGCTTGCAGTTTGCCTGCTCAATGATGCTCACTGCAGCCTTCTGCAGAAGGTTGGTCAATGAACCTAAGTGAAAGGGAAATAATTGGATTAGTGGAATGTTGCTGTTGATCTTCTAATGTTGTTTATTACTGATGACTAATGATTTCCATTCAGTTATAACATGTTCATACAATTATGCAAAGGCATTTTAATCCCTCACCTCCTTCCCTCATGGATCCCCAGCCCATGATGTAGCACTCTGCTTCCTTCTTGAGGAAGCTGTGCACCGGTGACGGGAGACAGACCGACTGGATGGTGTAGGACATGGGGGCTGGGATTGTCAGCTCCAGCAGAGCAACATCATGGTCCATGTTGGTGCCATTGAAGGCTGGGTTGACGATGACTCTCTGGATGGGTATGACAAGGGCTCCTACACCTGAGCGTAGCACTGATCCCAGGCTTACAGCCCAGTTAGCTGGGCTGGCATCACTGAGGGTATTTAAAAATTCAGTATCATGTACTGTACCAGAGGAGTTATGGCATTACATCAGTTTAAATTAGCTGAAATACTGAACCTTTTGAAGCAGTGTGCAGCTGTGAGTAGCCACTTGCTGTGTATGAGTGTGGCACCGCAACGGTGAAGTCTCTGGTATTGCAGACTACCAATCCAAGGCCACTCCCCCCTTCGAGCTGTAACTCCACCCACAATCTTGTGAGCGCCCAGTGCAGGACGCACACCACAGTCTGAAAGGGAAAGACACATCAGATGCACGTCCTTTGACTCAATAACTCAACGCGTTCCTTTGTCAATTTGAACTTGCCACAGTTCTTTTCGTCGGCCTGGTTGGGGCAGTCTGGGACGCCGTCACACTCTGGGTTGACTTTGCTGATGCAGGAGGTGGAGCTACACTGGAAGTTACCACTGCAGTTGAAGACTGGAAGCCATAATTAAGAGACCGTGTATCAAGAGTGTTACAAAGTAAATGACAAAGATCCACATTCTTGATACAAAATGTATGACTGACTTTATTAACATTCCTTAATCCTCTCTTTTCAGTATGACATTACCAGATAGCGTTGGTGCAGGTGATACGTCCATGGCTGTAGTCCTGGGCACAGACAGGTCATTAAAGCTTCCTCCTGTCACAGAAACTGGCGCAGTGGGAATTTGATGGGGGTAATAATCCAGGACCAGGCTGGGATCCGTGTGGCTTAAAATCCAGTTGCGGAGCCTTGTGATACGGGAATACACACCAGGCCTGTTGACCTGGGCGCAGCCCTCTCCCCAACTTACCACCCCAGCGAGGAAGAACCTCCCCGGGGCCGACTCACACACGAGAGGCCCTCCAGAGTCACCCTACAGGGTAAACACAAAGACCTCTGATTCTCTGTTGTAAGAGCAATTATTCAGCTCAACTCAGGCCTGTTAAAGTAATCTGGTAAATGTCCTGTATTAACTAGAGGTAAGCACTTGTTGAATAGGATTGGAATAGAAGTTACATTTTTCAGGATGCTGAGCAAGGAAACTGACATTTTTGTACTGAGATAAAGACATTTTCAGAGTCAAATATGTATGGATTGTTATTGTCACATAATCGGTAATCTTTGAACCTCAGGTGTGTGTTGTTTAATTTAATTAATTGAATGTTATTTAAGGCTGGACGAAGCCTTTCCTGGAGAGCAATGTCATGTTTCCTTGCTTTAATAGCAACAACACATATCATGTAATGCTTTCAGAAAATAACAGAAACAGCCTACAGGCCTCTATTTTCAGGTTGAGACCAGTGTTGGCATACAGTCATGACCTTTTTCATGGTTTCAGTACAGAAAAGGAAGACTAGACTATCAGTGTAAGTGTACAAGCATTGCCCCGAGATATGAAAGTTTTGTATGAAAAAAGGAAATTTGATAGATCATCCTTTCCATGTCGTTTCGTGTAAACCAATCAAAGCAGGACTTACCTGACATGAGTCCACCTTGCCCTGGAGGAATCCAGCACAAATCATGTTTTGAGTAACAGTTCCTCTGTACACCGATGATTTGTTGCAAACCTTCGTGTCGATGATCTTCACCACAGCTTTCTGCAGGATGGGCGGCACAGCAGCTGAATGTCAGGAAAGCACAGGACAACTATATAACTCATCAGAATTTTGATTCAACAAGTAGCCTTGTCCTGTAATTTGACTACCAATTATCCATTTATAGATAATAATAGTCAATAAAACAATTTGAGTAACACACTGTATACCTTTTGCAGATGGGTATATGAGTGTGTTCATGTGTGTTTCCAATGTACTGCTCTGTATCCCTGCTGTATTTGTTTTGTTTTAAATACAATCTGCTTTTATAACTATATGTTTTTTCAACTTTATAACAGGCGGCAGTTGAACTTTATAGCTTTAACTCTGGTACAATACATAACATAGTTAACGATAAGATTTAAAAATGATGCCTCCAAAATAAAATCAATAACAAAAATGTATGAATAACTATCTATACTTAAGTTGTTGAACTGTTATATTTTAAATAATAACACATTAATTCTGATATGTAAGATTAGATCTCATGTCAAATAACCTCATGTATATGATATCTTTGTTCTCTCAAATTCTGCATTACTGTTGTTCCTATTTTCTCATCTGTCTCACATCAAATGCCTTAAATGCCTTATTTTGTTTTTATATCTAAATAATGAATGATTAGTCCCTCATTATAGACTTAAAATAAGTTCAACTCCCAAATATCCACTAGCTGTGTGCAGACTAACTCACAGTTGAACTGCTGCAGTGCCCCCCACCCTGACACCACACAGGTGTGACCAGGGGCGAAGACGTGAGACGGGGACGGCAGGCAGACAGGCCGGATGTAAGCGCTGAAGGTGAGAGGAGTCTCCAGCTCCAGCACAGTCACGTCGTAGTTTGTCGTCGTGGGATTGTAGTCTGGAGACACTATCAGTGACTTAATGTTAATGATTTTGGACTCAGACTCCTCGCCGCTCACGAGTCTGGCTCCTACCAGGGCGGTCCACTCACTGGGGTCATTGGCCCTTTAAACAGAGAAGAAAATCATATAGAAATCACATTCTGAATGCGGCTGTTGCAAGTGTCGTTAGGACACTTATAGGTAGAATAATAATAAGAAAATCTCCTCTGAGACCGTGAAATGATCCTCTTTGCCTACCTCTCAAAGCAGTGTGCTGCACTGACCAGCCAGCGCTCGCTGATGATGGAGGCGCCACACATGTGGCGTCTGTGGAACCTCAGACTGACCTGCCATGGCATCTCCCCTTGACGAGCGTCCTCACCGCCCACCACCCGACTCCCCATCGCAGGACGAGTACCACAGGCTGAGGGGGGAAAGTCAGAAGATGTGGTCAGCATGGAGATGAATCAATGTTGGGTTTTCCTCCAGGTTTGTCCGTGAGCTCACTTTGACTTATGACAGCTCGCTAAGTTTATAGTATCTAAGTATAAATAGTAATTTACCACAACGCGCTTCATCTGATCCGTCTGCACAGTCGGGGATGAAGTCACACTCCGGGTTCACTTTGGTTATGCATTCTCCATTGTCACAGGTGAAGGTGTTGTCAGGACACCTGGCTGGAGAGCGAAGATGAGATAATGAGGAAAAAGGTACAGTCTTAGCATGCGAGGCATTCAGGTTCAGAAAACATGCATTTGCCCCAGTACACATCAAGTAATATAATAGAGACTTTAATCATGAGCTAATACATTCTAATACACACTTGCACATCTTTGTTTATACTGCATGGAGATTCTCACTTGTTGGGACACAATCCTCAGCCCTGACTGAATGCAAAAATAGAATCCAAAGGCTGATAAGATTTTTAAGCCTGACTTATTTAATCGAGTTAATATCTATCTTAGTTTGAGTTCTGTCTCCGAAATGTTATTTTTGTGTCCCTGCTTTTGATCTCAGACATGGTGTAGAGACATTTACATAAGAAAGGAATTTCCAACTACAAATAACTCATATTTGTAGTGGGAAATTGACTGTATTAGCTAAAGATAAACTTTACAATGCATGTTAGCACAGAAAGAGAGCTGCAGATTTAATCACCCACTGTTAAACATTGGTATTTTGTAAGTTTGGGATCTCTTCATAGCCAACAGGCAAAGTGACCAAACTGTTAATGGACCTTTGGGCATGTCATTTTCTTTTTTTAAATAGCAAAGTAGCACATCTTAACCATTTCTCTGTGGCCAACAAGTGACAGTTTTAGCCTTGGTATTAGAAACATAGCCGGTTCGGTAGTTTGAAAATTGTAATCATTTTTCTAAAGGATTATTGCAGGCACACTTAAACATCATATTCACTCACCCATACTATCATCTCCAATAGCATAGAAAGATTTCCCGCTGGCTCCTGGAAAAGAGGAGATAATAAAACTTTAGATGCAGTGAGAACAATGTATCGCACAGCTTTGGCTTGTTTTTGTCTCTCCTTTGAAAAAAGAAAACCATGCACTTTCGGACCACAGCCAGTCAACTGATGACAGAATAGTTTCAATACCCAGTAAGATGATAGCACTGATCTTTCCAAATCCTGGCACCTCCAGGGGCTCCCCATGAATCACTGAGCTGAGTCCGGCTCTCATCAAGTCCTGAACAAAATTATCTGAATACTGCTGGACCTTGGACACCCTGAAGACCAGTCTGAACGTCGTCATCACGTCCCCATTAATGTTACTGAGAAGACCAGAAAGCAGGTTGTAATATTTGACTCATGGCGTAAATGATCTACTTCAGGTTGACTGACTTACCCATAGGCAACAATACTGCAATCACCAAAGTGATGCGATATTGATGAGGCAGTGAAGACATTTTTAATCTGTAAGAGAAAATTTAAAATGGAAAATAAGAAGCAATTTAAAAGAAATATTGGGTTCTCAGTATGGTGAAAGTCCAGACATACCTTGGATTTTAAAACTGATGACAGAACTATGGAGAAACCAGAGTTCTCATCCTGCAGAACAGGATCGTACTTCAGACCTTTCAGCTCCAGCGTCTCCATGAAATAATGCTGCTCCTGCACCATGTAGGCTGCCAATGACAGAGCAGTGTAATATGACTCGTAAAATATTTGAACACTATGTGTTAAACTGTCACCAATCTGTCTAAAGACTTACCAATAATCAGGCCTATAAAGCACCCTATAACAAGGAAGATGGTGAAGAAGACCACAAGGGTGGTCCTGTAGCAGGCAGGGTTTGAGGTAGAAGAAGAGGCTCCTGCAGAGGACCAAGGACCACCTCCTCCTCCTCCATCCTTCTTCAGCTCCATGTTGGATTCACAGCACCAACCTCACAAATCACACACCACTGTGTCCACTAATGTTCGATTGACAGAGTGACCCAGTCCTGAAGAAGAAAATGAAGTCACAGTTGTTCGGTATTAAACAGTTCTAGGTATGACCCAAAATTGTCCTCGTTTGTGTTTCTTTCTCATGTGTATGAGCTGCTCCACACCAATTGCCCCAAGAGGGATTAATAAAGTTGTTTGAATTGAATTGAATTGAAAATATGTGAAGACACTGAAATAACTTTGAGAAGGTAAGTGACTGAAAAAAAGGCTGCACAAAAGGATGGCCTGATGTTAGGTAAAACGATAGACTGTAAATATTGGGTAAAACATGAGATATGAACCATCTTATCAGACAAAACTGACAATACATGAAAAACAAAATTTAAATACATCAGTTAATTAGTTTAGCTTGGCATCAAACACCTGACGTCACATTGCGCCCTTACACTAATAAAACATCTACAACATTAAGACGGTGTTCCCAAAAGCTAAGATACAACATGTAAATTATGTAATAATCGCAACTATGGATTATTTGATTGAAAACCAGATGTTCAAGCTAAAACATTGTGTACAAAAAGGAAGGTTACTAACAGAAACTTGAAGCAGATCTGTTCCGGAGAGCTGGCTGAGAATGTGCGGGCGTGCGTAAAGGAGACCAAAGAGGCCATGTTGCCTCCCAAATCTCCAATGTGAAAAAAAACAAAAAAATCCCTTTAAACATCAAACAATGATCGTTTCTGAATATTTAGAGAGAACGGAATTCAAAGATTAAACGGACTTGGTGAGGACTTCACTAAACCAGCGACTTACGCACTGCAACTCCGTGCGCATCACCGCGTAGAGCATTTAACAATACAAGCTTTATGTTCTGAGATGAACTCACTCACCTCGTTCTTCTCTCATTCCTCTACACGCTGACTTCTCGATATCTTACAGACCTCGGGGGAAATCAGACGGATGGAGGAAGACAAGGTTCAGGGCGAAGAGGCCCGCTATTTGTTCCACCTGTCGAAGGGCGTGTCGTGTTCGTCCCGCAGGTAGCTCACCTTTACAGTTTACTTTGGGAAGTCGACACGGCTTCAGAAATCTCCAACAGACCCTCCTCCCTTCAGTCCTGATCCCCTTTCGTTACACCCCAATGTGCACAGGCATTTCCACAGAGCGCCCATAATCTTCAGGTAAATAATGAACATCCAACTACTCCTATACGCAGCAGCACCATTGTTTGTGCTAGATGGAGAAACGTATTGCCATAAAATAGGACATTAAAAAGTCTAACAGAATCAGTACCCAGCCAGAGGCTTTTGCCCCTCTCCGCTCCATTGACACAGTGACTGAGCAGAGGAGGGTGAAGCCTTTTTACCAGGACTACAGCTTCTCTAATCACTGAGAGCTTTTACCTTGACTTAACTAACCTATTGCATTGTGTTTGATATTTATAGAGCGAGGAATTGTCGACCTCAAGATAATTCACTCCATTTGAACAGACTCTAGTCTAAAGGTACTTATATTTTACCATATATTGATAATGGATCTCTATACTTTAAATTTTGAGACCCTCTACTCTACTGGAGGAACAATCCTAACAAAGGTAAATCAGTTAAACTTACATTATTCCCCCCACCCTGCTTAAAGTGATTCCTTTTGAAAGCATGCATTACCACAGATGTCTCTTTGTCAGTGTGCAGACAGGCTTGAATGGCTTATCTTAACACACAACACACACTCCCTTTATCCCTTTAAACACTTTCAAAGATCACAATCAAATGCTTCAGTCAAGACAAATGGGCTGGAGTTCAGCCAATTCAGCAGTTTGCACAAAATACTTTTAATCATTACAAAGTTCATCCAGTGGCAGTAAAATATCTTCTTCACCTATAACCTTCTGACATTTAATCAGATTTAACTTTTTAGCTGTTTATTTTTAACCAAAAGGTTTTCTCTTGGGCTAAATAAGGCAGCGATAACACCAAACTGCAGATAGACTGTGAGATACAGACTTAGTAAGCAAGTGGTCAGACTTCTGAAGTCGATGAAATTTGGATGGGAAGAGGCTACTTGATTCACATCTGCTGAGCCACACACAGACCATCACAACAGAAGTTATCTGAATCACATTAGAATCACTGTGAAATTCTATCAATTTCCACATACAGCTTGCACACAGACAAGGAAGAATAACACTTAACTCACATTATTATTTTATTTTCTTATCAAAAACAACAAAGAATAGTAAAAAGTTGACTTATTCTGGATAAAAAGAAAATGGTTACAATAACACATGCCAACTTTGTGGGCTGTTTACAACTCAAATCTTCTCAAACTTTTCACACCAGAGACAGAAACCAAAGTGAGGTGCTTAAAATGTCCTTTTGAAGATGAACTTTTGATTTGCACAACTGAAATTTGCTTCATTATACACATTATTACTGGTAAGTCTTAATATAAAACAACAAAAGACTTTACAAACATTTAAGTGTGTGTGTGTGTGTGTGTGTGTGTGTGTGTGTGTGTGTGTGTGTGTGTGTGTGTGTGTGTGTGTGTGTGTGTGTGTGTGTGTGTGTGTGTGTGTGTGTGTGTGAAACAGAGAGACAGTGTTAGCCATCCTGTTGCTGTATGAAGGGGTTCGGTATGGCTTCCATGCCGTCCTGAGGACAGATTAGTACTACAGAGGTTCCTCTGCACACCACCAGCCCAAGCTGCCGGGTGTCTTCTGTCAGCTTCAGCTGGTCATCTGGATCTGGACAGGCAAGAATGTGCAAGCATTATTTACATGCAAACATTTGAGTTAAATGTTACGGAGGTACACTACCAGTGACAAGTTTGGACACACCTGATTGAAATGCATGTTTTTATCTTGCTTGAATGTTGCTATCTATGCTTGAATGTTTGACATGGGTTTCTTGTATAAATAAATAGAAATAGTGAAGTTGATGCCTACGAATGTATGCATTTCTTTCCAAAACAAAAATGTAATTAGGTTTTATTGGTTTAATATCTGCTATTATTCTAAAATGTGGAAAATAGATCAAATAAAAAAAAAACCCTTCTATTAGTAAGTGTGCCCTTGATACAGCTTACAGTAGCTATATGATAACAATATAGAATTACTATATTATTGATGAGACAGTTACTGTTGTGTGTCCAACATTTTGACTGGTAGTGTATCTTCACAGATCAATATAAGTTCTTCACTTTGATTAATAGTTTACCCTTGCGGTCACTTTAAGTTTTTGTGGAGGCTCATTCATATGACAACATTTTCATCCGATGATAACAATTAGAAATGAGCTCAAAGGGACACTGGGCCTTACCGATACGCATACGTTTCAGGACCAAATTATTATATAATTCTCCCCCCCCCCCAAAAAAAAGTAATTTTACTTTAAGTTATTTGGATAAAACATTTAAATTTGATACAGAATGTCTACACTTGTCGCACATTAAATAAACTCCCAACTTTTACAACATATATATGTATTGAAAGTCAAATCACCAGATGTCACTCCCAAACTCTTTGTTTGAGCCCTTCACAGGGTCTGCACATCATTCATATATTGCAATTGTAAAATGAAACTCCTGATCAATCAAAACTTAATTTTATATTCCACAAAAGACTACTTCAAATAACAGTCATGTTTTGGAAGCTACAGTGACACTAGGTTGTACAGATTATTATTATTATTATTTTTTTTAAGATTTATTTTTGGGCATTTTCTGCCTTTATTAAAGAGATAGGACAGTGGATAGAGTCAGAAATCAGGGAGAGAGAGAGAGAGAGAGTGGGGAATGACATGCAGGAAAGGAGCCACAGGTTGGATTCAGGAGAGCGCACGCACTAACCACTGTGCCACCAGCGCCCTGGTTGTACAGATTATTGACAATATTATAAAACCCCTTCTTATTATTGGCAGACGACGCCAACGATAACAGAACACTGCTGTCATTTCAGAGTATCCTCACTACTGCATAGACCTAGGCATTGTGATTACTGTAGTAGTTTTTGTATTTCCAGAGAGACCGCGCTTCATTTAAGTGTTCCCCGTAGTTCTCCTCTCATTTGACGGGATAAGGGCATTATTGGGTTTAAGACAGGTCAAGGTCATGTGCTGCAGGAATGACGCTTAAGTGGTGTGCAGGTAGTAGTAACCAGTGATCCAGGTTTTACATGTTGGTTGTTTTAATATTGTGTGTATATAAATCATTATTAGCCATCATCCAACCTTCAGTCAATCTAAAAATAAACATAGGTTAGGACATCTCCCCATACAGCTACAATAACTAGACATTTTCTCATTGGATAAAAGTGTCCTGTAGATGAAGGTAATTCACAGAACAACATTTTCAGTCACATTAAGTCCACTTCTGAGGGCATACTGACGCTTGATTTAACATTTCCTTCCTTCCTTCCTGTAAAGTTTGTACAGATTAAAGTTTGTTTCCATCTGACTTACCCCGCATGTACTCGATTGTGCCGTCCAGCACTAAGTTTAACAGAGGATCAAAGCCTTTCAGCACGCCGCTGGCTGAGAGAGAGAGAGAGAGGAGTACACAATGCATTATTCAGGAGGATCTGTTCATTGACTATTTGAGGGGAATGTTTGGTCCCCCCCCCCGGCTAAAACTTATTAGCATTATCTTATTAAACAATGCATCCACCTACCCTCCCGTCCTCCTTGAAACTTCACTCGAATCGGCTTGTCGATGTACTTTGACAAGTCAAAGATGCTCTCCTTCTTCTTCTTCTCTTTGTCCTGCACGGAGAAATTGGGACATTGTTTGAAACGCTAACTCACATGTAAGCTAGCCTCACTGTAGCTTCACTAGCCTAGCCAGGTTACACATGTTTATTTTTCTTTCCAAGAGTTTTTCCTGCATTTCAGGTTATGTAGACAATTAACAGGAAGTGACTCGGAGTTATTTCCCCCCACCGATAACGTTTAATTGTGTAAATGGCAAAGTGGCGTTTGAATGAAAACGAAAACCGTACGAACTTACCGTCATGTTAGCTGTTTGACACGGAAGTAAAACTTTGACCCCCAGATGCTCAACCAATGAAATCGCCGAGCGCTTTGCTGACGTCATTGTTTTTGGTTTTTAGAATATTGGTAATTCAACACCCGATGAACATTTGTAGCGTGTAATGAAAAACTATACGAGTTATCGTCCACGTATCTACATCCTCCAGTTTTTATTTGCATTGTTTTTTTTGGGTTTTTTTTTAGGTATGACCTACTTTTTCCTGTTTGCATCTAGCCAGCCGACAGTCTATTAATAACACCAGTTGGTTGGTGTTTTGTAAACCAGGACGAGGACAAGGGACTACACATTAGAGGTTGTTGTGAAATGGCCTGCAGAGCTGACACTGATCCTAAACCTCAGCGTTTTGAATTCACAATTCTGTCTGAACAGATAAACAAACTCCAGGAGGATGAATGTGTTCTACATGTGCAAGATTCAGAGCCTGAGGTAATACCTGATGCTACCCTGCAGGTAGAAGGAGAGAGCTTTTATGTCAACCGTCGACGGCTAGCCCTCCACAGTCCATACTTCAGGGCTCTGTTTTTTGGATGTGGTGTAGAGAGCCGCAGAAGGACCATTGAGATCAAAGGTGTGGGTCTGCAGCATTTTAGGGTTTTGATGGAATACATCAGGACATGCAACATAGCTCTGACCAGAGAAAACGTTCTTGGGATCCTTGAGACTGCAGACTTTTTACAACTAGAGGGAGCCAGACTGCTGTGCTGCAAGTTCCTAGAGCGCGAGCTGCACCTCAGTAACTGTCTGGGGATGATGGCTTACGCTTGGAGGCTTGGCTGCACTCAGCTCTACAGGGTGGCAAGACGGGTGGTGCTCACACACTTCTCTGCTATTGCTGCCGATGAGGACTTCCTGTCCCTGTCTAAAGAGAACATTGCAGACCTTCTTGCCAGTGATGACCTGGCCATCTTCAAGGATGATCTTGCCCTGGAGGCCATCCTACGGTGGGTGTCATTTGACTCCCAACGAGAAGAGCATTTTCTGGAGCTCATTGAGCTGGTGAGGCCTGAGTTGCTCTCTTTACCATTTCTCACTGAACTGTTGACAAGAATGAAAAGCTCTGACCCCAGAGCCAAACTTGTCTGTATGCTGAATGAACAATTTCCAGAATCTTGGTTAGTGGGCAGGTCAATAAAGAGAACAAGGGCCAGAGAGACCCTCTTTGTCCTGGGCGGACCACATGATCAGGAGCAACAGGCACTGTACCAGTTTTACCCGCAGAGTGGTAGATGGCAGAGCTGTGCACCTCTACAGAGGAAGAACCTCACACAGTACTCTGTAGCTGCTCTAGGTAAGGGTTGAATAGGGATCAGGATGATGAAGATGTGGATAATGATGATGCATAATATTTCTCTACTTTCTTTATTTAACCCCTTATCCCATAACACCTACATTTTGTAGGAGACAATGTGGTTGTGACAGGCGGCTACTTCCGGGACGTCCTGTGGTTCAGTGTGGACTGGGTCAGGATTTACGAATGTGGGAACCAGCGCTGGCTTGATGGGCCGGCACTGCAGAAATCCAGGCACAGCCACTGCTCCATCGGGCTGGACTCTGCGCTGTATGTCCTAGGGGGCAGCATGGATGAAGGACTTGTGAGTGACGTAGAGAGACTGGTACTGGGGCCAGACAAAGGGTGGGAGGTGATCAGCCCCATGGTGAGGGCTGTTGAGAGGGCAGCCACTGCTACTCTAGGCTCATGCATCTATGTGGCATGTGGCCTGGATGAAAATGGGGAGGCGTATGGAGGAATTCAGCGGTACATGGTGAAGGAGGATCAATGGGATGTGGTCTCCTATTCCCCATTTCCACGGTGAGTAAACATTTAAATTACATGTTGACTCTTCTGCTTTGCTTAATGACACTGTCACAATGAATATTTCTTTAATATAATATTGTTTTAAGCTTTAATTGGAAGGTTTATTGTATGACTTTTTTTTTTTTTTACCCCATCAGTTATGACCTGGTTGCAACAGAGCTTAACGGTGCCCTCTACCTGTTTGGAGGCCAAGCTTTGCGATTCGACGTGGAAACAGACGAGTGGACCTTATTTGAGGAGGAATGTCTGGACAGTAAATTCTTCTCTGGCTGCACAACAGTCAGCGGACAGATATATCTGGTCAGTGAGAAAAAGAGTAACAAAGCAATCCCAAACATGGTACTGATGGACCCCTACATAGACACCTGCATGGAAGTGGATGATGCCATGCCCTGCTCTGTGCCCCTTAGAGGGTGTGTTACTGTGAGAATGCCTATTTGAAGGATAGCACGTTGATTTATTCTGCAAACCTCAGCTTTTTTTTGTATATGTCTATGTACTAAAACGTCAAAAACTTAGATTAATTTCTAATAGGTCATGTCTTTGGCTTACGTGAAAAACGAAGCACAATTTAAATAAACAGACACAGGTGTAATCATTCACTTAAAAGAAGACAGCAGTGCTATTTATTTCAATAGTCATTTATTAAAACTTTTCAAGTTTACACACAATCAATCAAGCAGCCATGTGAACTCTTAAGGGAACAGCAAAGTGTTACTTTCATGAAAACATGATTTCTTTTTTTATGTCTTTAAAAAAACAAACATCATTTTAGTTGGTGTAATGGGTGTGATATTAAGTGGATCAGCCCTTTTATTTCTCCACCAATTAAATCCCACTCTGTGTTGTGAGCCTCAGTGTTACAACTGAGACCCAACCTTCCTTCTGTTCCGGACATTCATTTTGTATAAGCTGAAGTAAGTGGACACAGGAACTTACTTTATGAGTTGCTATTACCGACTTGTTCAAAATGAATATTATTCGTGGTTGTGAATTACAGCAATAAAGATTACTTAGATTTAAAAAAAAACAACATCTTTGCTGTTCTGTTGACAATCATCATAATCCAACCGTGAAACCAACCCTGGAAACAGCTTACAGAGAGTGAGCCTCGTCTTTCATTGTGATAAAATACGTACATGAAAAACTAAATAACCTCTTCATCCTATTAAAGCAGTAGAGCACTGTCATATCATATCAAAACATGTAATAAACTTGATCTTTACATTTCAGTAAGAGCTTTACGTGGATAAAGCATTTAAACTTTTGTAGACAACTCCCTGTCTATAAAATATCTCACATTTTATATTGGCCCTTATGTGAACAACCTTTTTTATGGCCTACAGACACCAGCAGCCTCACCTACATATTAAGCAGTAAAAACAGTGAAACCAGTGAAACCACTCACAGTAAGGTCTGCCCTGTGTGTTTGTCCAGTGTAGGTGTGTAATCCTACCTACACACAGTGCTTAAAAAAATCTAACTTTTGTCCTATTACAATATATACAAAGCAGCCGAGGCACAAAAATAAAGTCCAGCAAATTGTAACAAAAACCTTGTTGAGGAATCATGCTGCCTATCGTAGTGATATTAAAGTAGAAAAAGGAACGCACAATCACACATGGTTTAAGTCCACATTTAAATGAGCATTACTTTTTTTGTACATGCATCATCAGTCACATAGTAAGTGCCTTGTCTGTAAGTATGTGCTCTTTTTTGCGCACCAGGGGGCGCCATAGATTTTCTATAAGCCAAGACAAAAATAAATACTATTACAGAAAATAATGTAAGTTTAAAATACCAAAGAAACTTCTGCAGGGAGATTATAATAACATAAACCTTTCCTGTTAAGTAAATGATTAATTAAAAATAGAGATATAAAGTGGTTTATCAACAGATTTGCTACAATCAAAGTCTATGTACAATCAATAATAATGTGTATGTTTGTGGATACAAAGCCAAGGGAGTGAATGCCTCTGAAATTCTACCTCTAGTTTATTCTGTTCAAAGATTATTTGACTTCATATTATATTGGAATATTTTAATTCCTGTATAAAAATCATATAATTTCTCATATTGATTAAAGGAACGTGTAAATGCATCATAGCACGTCTACTGTCTTTCACCTTCATGTATTTACAAAGCAGTTAGAGTACAGTGACAATATATATAAAATCTTTATACTACACATAAAAAAGGGTAGACTGTCTACTTGTTTCGCCATATTTTTTTGAATTCTGGTGTGTGGGTGTTAGTAATGATGGTGTTTCTGCCTAATCTAATACTGGGGATGCAGATTTACAATCACCAGTTCTTCTCTTTCACTCTTTTTTTCAAGATAAGCAGGATGCAGACTTACCCTCATCGGAAATCTTCAATGGACCATGTTCCATGTACACAAAGCCGAACGTTTGTATCATATGTCACTAAGAAGTTGATTGCCAATTGGTGGAAGGGGAAATAACTTTCTTCTTTTAAGGAGGTTTTGGTAGATGTTGGTGGAGGCTGCTCCACTATCTGGCTTTGGGCAGTCTGCTGTTTATATTCCGCTGGTTGGTCAAGTTATTCAGGACACAGTTGTTAGCCAGAGATGCCAGCTTGGAGTTTATTGTACCCTTTCTTTGCTCCCAGCTGCACTCGTCACCTTCTTCCTCAGGCTCCTCCTCTTCCTCTTTGTCGTCAACCTCACTGTCCTCATCGCTACGTTCATCACGCTCCACCTGAAGAGAGGGAACGGAATTAAACAGTCTTTATGGTGCCAAAGTAAATGTCAACATTGTCCTTCCACTCCTCATTTTGTTACATTGTTCTCACCTTGCCGAGGAACACAAACTTGTAGACCATTCGGAGAATGAGATAGGCCCAGAAGATGTGCAGTGCCTGCAGCACTAACAGCAGAGCATTGAAGAAATAATATCCAAAGAACGGCTTGAAGAAGTCAAGAGAGACCACCAGGGTTGAGTAGATCACTCTGGGAGACAGACACAGCAAGAGATGATCAGTTTTAGCTTCCCTACAGAACAAACTCCTGAAAGGATGAGACCTTTCTGACGACTAAAGTTGTGAAGAATCAATTATTTTGCAGGGAGTGTAAACCTGCTGCTCTTTGCTAAGAAACTAAAGACGGCAGGTTGTATGGAGAGAGAGAAAAAAGGGCAAAGATGTACAACAGATGCAGTTGGGCGCTCCAGAACAACAGAGCAGATTCTTTTCACCTCCAACTAAACATTACACTAAAGGAACTACAAAAACAGCATTCAAGATTAGTTACGCAAAGACACAGGCTTGAAAAAAAACAAACAGGTTATAAGTGCATCAAAACTTGCTCACTGCAAAATCTTGAGGAGTTGTGCAAAGCCATGAATTTGTTACATCTACTGCACCGTGATGTTTTACCTGCTGGGTAACACCACAAGTCTTGTCACCAGGAAAATCAATGAGAAGATGACAAACAGCGAGTCACATGTCTTCGTCCAGCCAGCATAGTGGAACATCTTGGCAGACTATCAGAAGGAAAAAGACTCTTATCAGTGATTGCAAAAAAAAAAAAAAGCGACCAAGCCAGCTTTCTTGTATGACTAATATCAGCATTGTTTCAAGAGTTGCCAAGGGACCTCCCAACTGTACGCTACTTGCCTTGACTTTATCAATTAAATTGATAGCAAATTAAAAGTTTTACTCCAATTGTGAGATTGCTATCATTCACATGTAAATCCAATTCTAAAACCAAAGGCAGGACAGAGATGATTGAAATAAGGTGTTAAAGTTAATAAAAGACTGTCACAAGCCAAACTGTGATAAATAATCGTTAATTGTCAAATTTCTTTGATTTCTTTGTCTAATACACCTTTACAGTTCCACACATAGATACTAATGCCAGTCTGTAGAGCGTCTGTCTGTATATTACACCCACATCATTGTCGCTCTTTGTGCCAGACCCCATTAGTCACGCCTAAGGTCACAGGGCTGGCTCTACATATTTCCTCAGCTTTAAGCTGACAGTTACAGTCTTACTTGTCTGATGTTATCAGTAAAATGTTGCAACCAGGAAAATCAGCCTCACAATAAACCTACAGTCTCACAGAGGGGGTTGCAAATAATCATTTTACAGCCACAAAAATCTTCTTTTTTTTTTAAACTGACAATAAGGCTTTTCTATGCAGGACTTATTTGATACCGGACGTCTGGTTATGATGTCTTTGAGTAAGAGAATGCAAACTACACAATGGCTGTATTCAAGTCAACTTCCCTGTGACCTTTGTGCAGTTTTGTGGTTTAACAGCAGTTCATGAGAGTAGACTAAATTCATTCAATTTGAATGGTGCATTTTGCATTTCCTACTTCCTTGTTATCTAATTTGAAGTACATAATACCTGAATATATGAAGATGACAATTGTATAAGCAAGGTGAAATATGTAAAATAGACTGCAAAGCTAGACACCTTGATTATTATTCAATAGAAAAATCAGGTCTGGTGATTTACCTCCAGAAGGAAGTCAGAGGAGTCGTGTACCAGCATCACCAGGGTGCCAACCCTCACATAGTTGGCACAGTAGGAGAAACCAATGAGGAATAAGGTGGCGATGTGATGAATGACCTGCTCATTGAAATCCTGGAACACACAGAGACCACACAGTATGAGGAAAATGTACACTAGCACAACCAACACGTCAGCAGCTTTTGCTCTGCTGCCTTTTTCATCAAAAGTGTCCAAGAATTTGAAAGGGACATTGACATACTGACTGGACTGATTTATTATTTTGTTGGACACTTGAAACATCCTTGGTCAGCAGCATTGACACGTTGGGTAAACCACACACAACCACGTATTTTATCCAGAGAAATTGGGAATTAAGGCTGCAGCAGGGTCTATATTGAGTGTATTTTTGGATATATATAAGGCCTATCAATTTAATATTAATATTTTTTAATTTACATGAATTTAACAGTAGGTGCCAAACTCTTTCTAAATATTTCAGATCCTGCAGCACTGCTGTTTTAAAATGACAGACACACAAAGTACACAAACATGATGTAATACCAGATTATCTAGTGCATAATCCGTATTTAGTTTAATCCTGCAAAAGAAAAGCAACATTTGGATTACACTGCAAAAAAAGGGCAGAGAGTGATGACATAATTCAGTTTTGACCATTTGACTAACAGTTCAAAACTCAAGAAGAAGCCATCTGGAAACCAGCAGGATTTTGCTCTGAGCTTTTAGATTATGTGTGTATGTGTGTGTGATTGCATGTGTGTATTTGAGCTCACTTACTTTTCGCTTGACATCCACAGACACAGACAGCAGCAGGGATAAATAGAATCCCATTTCGAGGATGTAATACCAATGATGAGCCTCAGACACAGGCTGAGGAATGAGAAGAAGAGAAACAATCAGTCAAATGTTTACATTCAGTGGTATGTGACTGCTGCTTATCAGTCTAGCATCAGGAAAACAAACTTTAGTACTGTTGTAAACTGAAGAATTAACTGCTTTTGCTGACCGACTCTGGCTTCTCCCGCATGTGTTTGCTGAGAAAGATGTGAAGACTTTTGGGGAAGTGACCATGTTCACACAGATGCCATTGAAGTCTGGCTTCACACTCAGGGTGTACCGCTCAAATGCCCTATAATGTCATACTGATGTGTTCCAGGTTATAAATTCATGTAAATGTCTGAAAATGTGTCATCATTTGAGCATTTTCTGATTGATCATCAACAGAGGTGACAATGGATCAAGGAATAGTATTTCATTCACTTGATGACCCATTGGCTACCCTCAGACAAAAACTTATGTGAGCATTCAACCCTTTCTTAACAGAGCTGTCAGCAAATTATGCATTTTCTATTGTATCATACAACACAACCAAAAACTAATTTGAGCATTCAGCCACTTCCTAGCTATTGTTAGTATTAGCTAGGGGAGGCTGAATGCTAATATTAGCTTTTTCCTGATGGCAGCTGATTTCTTATAGCCTACTTGTTATGTCGCTTTAACATCTGCTCAAATGTCCCTCCAGATTTGTGGCAAACGTCCTTTGCCTCTTTCTCTGCATTTCTATAAATAAAACATAAATAAACAGCAACATGAGACACTATTACATTGTAACAGTTTTTAGAGTCCCAATGAAGCTAAACTTTGAGTAACTAACTGCAGTGTCGTATTTCTAACTGAGACGGGATAGAACCAATCACAAGATAGAATAAACATAATGTAGGGATGGCTGTGATTGGATCGTTAGCTTCAACAAAGCTTTTTAATTGGTTGTGAAATTAGTAAACGCCCCTGATAACAGGATGAGTCATTTGAAACGTTTTGTAGGAAGACAAAAGGTACATTTATTGTGATTTAAAAAACACTCAGATAATGCTTTATTGAAATATATTTGGCAGATAAATGAACGTGTAACAAAGGAACGCTGGATTAGAACTGGAAAATGTATTTTTCCTTTCATGGGGACTTTACATTTTCCATTGAGTGTGATGTCAGAGGAAATTGGCTGCCTTGTGAACATGGTAAATAGAGCCCTGAAAGTAGCCAAATAAAAAATCCTTCACTTTCACATCAAGAAGGAACTGTATGTTATCACAACAGCAAACCTGTTTTCCAGAAGAGGAAATGTTTTCATTTCAAGAAAGTGGTGTGTGTACTATCTTAAATCTAAACCATTTGTGTAAAAACCCCTGCATTCAAGGTTTGAAGCACAATGGCAGGAAGTTGACAGGGGCATTTACCTCCTAAAACCACATCCTTTCTCTCGGTCAGAGGCAACGAGACCTCAAAACAAGGTGAAAAAATGTCAGGTGTTGTGTTGCCTGCAGGAGGTGTTTGCTGTTCAAGGCCATGACCCCGCAAGGAAGGGATGTTTACTACTGAGGAATGTCGACCTGCAGGCAGAACTAACTGCCACAAACATAGCAGAGAGATTAGCTTAAAAACTGTTAAGGAAGCGAAGGAGTAGACTTAAACGTTAGAGGGGTTGGAGAAGTTTACTGACAAAACTGTGTCATAAACTCAAAATCTACCATGACTAAATCCTTCAACAAACACTTAAGACTTTGTTTTACTGAGTTCCTCCCAGCTATTGTTTTCCTTCGCACGTTCCTTCTTAACGGATGAGTTAATGTCCCAGCTGTACCAGAGAAATAGCTCTATATTGCATTAGGACTTTATATTGAGTATAGATTATTATCACCGCTAATAAATCTGTCATATATCTTTCAAGTCATTACAATGTCAGGAAATAGTGAAAAAAAAAATCATCATACTTGGTTTTTAACAGTCTGAAGCCGAAAGTATTCAACTCATGATCATAATCAATGAAGATAATGGAAAAGAGGCCTTGTGTGGAAATAGCTGGATCAAGCAAAGAATGCATAGATTATCAAACATTTTTATTTATGACTAATTACTTAAGAAATGTTTTGTTAAATTAATGTCTGCTCAATCTTGCAATTTTGTTCTCACCTGTTTTGGATAACCCCTCCAACACTCTCTTTGATCCCAGAACCATGGAGTCTGAAAGATGAAACAACCAACATCAACAGTCTTCACATCATACAAGCTTGAGGATGAATGTTAACTCAACTCTTGCAAACCATTAAAGTTACACAGTGGATGTCTATGAGTCCACAAGAGATAATAAAAATGTGCATGTCTTATTGCTAACACACAAAACAACGTCCCATTGTCAGTCCTAGTGTAGTTGGTAGCACACTTACATTAATTAAAGAGGCCAGCCCCGCAGTGAACGCTACGAGGTAGAAGACAAAACGCCAGCTGCAACGATGAAAAGAACACCATCACTTGTTAGAGACTGCAGTATGAATTAAATACGTGAATACGGATAATCATGTGTGTAAATTATATAATTGTGTTTGGAAATAAATCAAGCTCTAGACTTAAAATATGGCAACCAAGTTTAGTCTTTAAAGCTAAATGTAATTCTAGTTTGAAATGACTTTTGAAATAGAAAGTGAGATTATCCATCCATCCATCCATTTTCTTGGAGGTCGGGTCGCGGTGGTAGCAGGCGCAGTAAGTCAACCCAGACTTCCCTCTCCCCAGCAAAGTTTTCCAGCTCCTCCTGGAGGATTCCAAGGCGTTCCCAAGCTAGACGAGCTATATAATCCCTCCAACGCATTCTGGGTCTGCCCCAGGGTCTCCTCCCAGTTGGTTGTGCCTGGAAAACCTCTAAAGGGAGGCGTCCAGGAGGCATCCTTAACAGATGCCCAAATCACCTCAACTGGCTCCTTTCGATGCGGAGGAGCAGCGGCTCTACTCCGAGATCCCCCTAATGTCCAAGCTCCTCATCCTATCTCTAAGGCTGAGCCCAGCCACCCTCCGGAGGAAGCTCATTTCGGCCGCTTGTATCCGTGATCTCATTCTTTCGGTCACTACCCGTAGCTCATGACCATAGGAGAGGGTTGGAACGTCGATCGACCGGTAAATCGAGAGCTTCGCCACAACGGTCCGGCACAACGCCTTCATTACTGCTGCCGCCGAGCCAATCCGTCTGTCAATCTCATGCTCCATCCTACAAGACCCCGAGATGCTCGAACTCCTCCACTTGGGGCAAGGACTCACTCCCCACCCGAAGAGAGCAATCCACCTTTTTCCGGCAGAGAACCATGGCCTCGGACTTGAAGGTGCTAACCCTCATCCCAGCCGCTTCGCACTCGGCTGCAAACCGCCCCAATGCCTGCTGGAGGTCCCAGCTTGAGGAAGCCAACAAAACTATGTCATCTGCAAAAAGCAGAGACGAGATTTTGAGGTCCCCAAACTGGAAACCCTCCTACCCCCCGGCTGCTCCTTATGATCCTGTCCATGAAGATCACAAACAGGACCGGTGACAACGGGCAACCCTGGCGGAGGCCAACACGCACTGGGAGCATGTCTGACTTTGTGCCGAGGATGCGGACACAGCTTCCACTTTGGTCATACAGGGACCGGATGGCTCGTACCAACGGCCCCGGTGCCCCTTATTCCCGCAGTACCCCCCACATGATCCCCCGAGGGACACGGTCAAAAGCCTTCTCCAAATCCACAAAACACATGTAGACTGGATGAGCAAATTCCCATGCTCCCCCAAGAAGCCCTGCGAGGGTAAAGAGCTGGTCCACTGATTATTATTTGCTAAAAAAATATAAAGGGGGCAGTTTTACTGAAAACCAGCTTTTGACATGACAAGATTTGTATTCTTTCCTTCATAATATAATATAAGCCTTTTATAACTTTAACAGACAGACAAGCCTCTATGTCTAAGTCTTCAAATACTCACGAGGCCTCGCGGAACTTTTTAGTGTTACTAGGTCGGTCCTGGTTCCTTCTGTGCCTGAACCAGGACTGGATCTTTCTCTGTGAGAGACCGCATTGCTTCCCCAAGGTCGCCACCTCACTCTGAATACACACAAACACAAATGCATATGTAAAGATTCAGGGTTGGACTGATATTTGCATTTCAGAAGAGGTTTACTGCTGCCGGCTGCTCTCTCAACTCCTGAGACACAATATTTTACGTGATGTTTTACAAACCAAAGCTCCTTGCTGATGTCTATGACAGCTGTGTTACTACTTTGCTTAACAAATTCAAATCATCCAAACTGTTAGGTGTTGTTAATAGTATGTGTGTCTTTGCTAAAACGTGGACCCCCTTCAGATAAATTAAGTGCTTCATTTTTCATGTTATCATTCTAGAATTTGCTTTCTTTTATTTCTAATGATTATACTCTCTAAGGTCCACTTCCTGGTTGATGATGATGCTCTCATAAACATGCACTCTTGAATGCCCCTTGCTCCACCAGGTGTTGGTAAGGTGGCCTGTACCAAGTTGGACTTTAGGATGGGGGAGGATGCAACGGTTGATTTTTTAATTATTCTTTCAAACCAGCCATAGTAAAAATAACTCTCGCTTGAAGACTAGGTTGTATAATTTAATGACTGATGTTACTAATATCCTTATTAGCTGTAACACTCTGTTGAACTCTGCCCTTGCATTTACCCTTGCATGTGGTTAAAACAGGAAGTATTTAAAGCCTTTGTTTGGTCCTATGTGTATGTTGGCTATGAAACACCTGGTTTATGTAGGTTTCTCTTGTTTTTTATATTAATGATTGTGATTTGGATGTAACACCAAGGCAAAGCTCAGAACTAAGTCTCTGGAGTGTTGTGATTATGTTAGTTCTCCAAACCTCCCACAAAGTCAGGGGTTTAACAGTACTCTAACAATAGCTCTATACTTGCATTGTGTCCAAGGAACCTACTTTAAAGCATAAACACTGAGGATGCAACATTTTCCCTTTACTGTATTGAGCTAATGCATCCTAAAATATATATTTCAAACTTCTTGGCCTGTTCCAATTGTGCCTGTTGCCAGATATTTACATGTCAGATCAACAAAGGCATCAAGCAGAAGCCTTTGCTGCAGCTGTTTAGGCCACATGCAAAGTGATGATTTGAATGTAAGTCGTGGCACACGGGCAAACCTGGAACAGTGCTCGGGGAATTTTATTCTATAAGTTGTGACAAGTCTTTTCCCATCATTGGTGTTATCTTGTCAAACAAAATCAGAAGGAGGTTGGAGAATTCCCATGTAAATGTTTATATCACTTTCCTGCACCTGTTTACTGATTTAGGGAAAAGAAAGGAACACTTTTTGAAAGGGCAGTTGTGAATAGTTTCACAAAAGGAAATGATGACAATAAAGGGTGCTCAAGAAATAACTAATAACTAAAGGGGACCAGACAGCATACTGATGTCAGTGCTATTAGAGGAAATTATCATATAACACTGTGCAGTGAACAGGCCTAACACGAAACATTACAATTTCCTGTATCATGACAGAGTATACCTGTGCAATATTATAAACACATTAGCCCCTGTGTGACTTGTGTGTATTAGATTCTTCTCTTTTTTTATTAGTTCCTTTTTTTCACATGAACTGCTAAAAATAGGATGTTTTTTGCATAACTCTGAAATGCATCCAGGGACAACAGATAACTTTGTTGCCAACTGTGGGGAAAATACTCATAAATAATAAAATGTATCAATATACCACTCATTCCAGATCAAAAAGTCCTGTGAGTGCAAACGATAATTAAAAGCTATTCAGATGTGGATTGCAGGACAATACTGAGAGATTTTAGGGAAGGTTTACATAAAGGTTAGAGAGGTAAGTCAAACAGAACAAACTGGTGATGGTTGCCGCCTGTACTGTTTGTAGAAGGTTTCCAGCTTCGGGATAGGAGCGGCTCGGATCCTAATCCGGTCCTTCACTCCTAATTGTTTGCTTAATGGGACGGCAATGAGCCTGTGAGGACAGACAACAACAAAAAAAAAGACAGAAAATATAATTGCAGAGGGATCAACATGAGATGACATCAACAACTGCTCAATGTGATCCTAGCAAGGGACAATATAGAGCGACGGAATCAAGATATCTCATTTTGAGATATCTCATTAAGTGTCGCTCCTGACAGCCTGCAAAGCTCCTCCCATGAGCGTATTGTGACAAATGGCCAGGCGCTTTGTCGTCACCTTACATAGCATCAAGAGACCTCTGATCTGCATGACTTTAGTTTTACAAAGACAAGACAGAGCCACAGAGAAGAACAGGGACAATGTGTCACAAGCAAGATGTTTAGATAAAAGTGTGTGTGTGTGTGTGTGTGTGTATGCGTGCCAGGCATAATAACATGTGTGTGTAATTCTAGCTCAGAGATAGTCATCCTGAAGTGGGCAGGGAGGGAGAGATCAGAGAGAATGAGAAGGTCAGCTTTAGAGACAAGTATGTTCTCTTGTTACAGGAACCTCTAACGCGCACACACACACACACACACACACACACACACACACACACACACACACACACACACACACACACACACACACACACACACCCCTACCTCAATACAGGGAAACAGCTGCAGAGCAGGATCATCGAATAAAGACACCCATTAAGCTGACATCGGCTACAGCTTCACAGACATGAGCAACACATTAATACTTCACTGGATAGCACTCAGACACTCGGGTTCACGCTGGTATTAAGCATAATAATTTTTGACGCTTCCAATGCAAGAAATTCAATTAAACAAACTACACAAAAGACTTTAAGCCAAACAATGTTACTAATCTCTCACAGTTAATGCCAAGCAATCTCACATAGTTTTCAAGGTTTTAGGGCATATACAGCAGCTGATAAGAAGTATGCAAACACAAGCCTCTTATCAGTTCATACATCACATGTCACATCATCCTCTTACGGTCACTTTTAACTCTAATGCCAGTAAGAGGCATTAGTTGCTAAAACATTTTCAGTATTAGCGCAGCAGGAGGCAAAATGTATCAAGATGATGGACCATGGATGTGCAAAAAATCGAAATCAGGGTCTGTGATCTAATTTGTGTTGGTTTCAGGGTCATTTACATTTTGTTTTAACATCAGTGTGCATTAAATTGAAATGGCCCTGGATATATGCATATTTAAATGCAAACTAGGGTTTTGAATTTGAATTTTGAAAAACCACTTTCCTCACAGCCCATTGCGGTATTATCAGATATCCTGTTTTGCCCAACCAACACTCAATTACACCCAAAACACTGGGTTTACTAAAAAGAAGGGGCAAGAAAAGCAAATAGCCTTGAAACCTAAAATAGACAGTTTGGGGCATTTTAGCTTGAAAAAGTGAAGTTTTCCCATCCATCTTTTGTTCCTGCTGTACACCCAGTGATGGGTATATCTCCACTAAAAGGTTGCAGAGGCCATTAGAGTCTACAAAAAATAGCCATTCAGCATTAGTTTAGCCTGTGTCTGGGGTTTCCTTTTAAATTACACAAGCTTTTAAGAAGCACCAACAAAGCTGCTGTATCAGAGTAATTATCCTGCCTTTCCCTCCCTGTACAACACATTTAATAGGACTGAATTAAATTCCCCTGGGGAGGAGAGAGGGCTTTCACACAGTCAGCAGCTAAAACCTGTCTACTCATGATGCTCATCTCTCCCACTGCCTGTTTGATAAATGCTTTCCATCTACAGGGAGCTCTAATGAAGGATAAAGGAGCCATTATCCTGTGCCACACAAGCAGTAAACCAGTTATCCAGCCAGCATGACAATGCAGATGAAGGCGGAAGTCAGACCCAAGCAAAGATATAACCATTATGCAGAACTGTTTCCTTGTAACACATTCAGTCAGTCAACACTCAATTTAAAAGTTGTAGTCCACCGTAAATCTTAGAAACATACTGCTTCAGAGAATCAAACACAGAAGGAGTCTTAGTTTAGTCAATATTTAAAATGTGATCTTGCATTTGTGGTTTCATGATCCAGCTGTGGTGGAGGCTGTTGTGTCTCACCTCTCAAAGACGTATCTGAGCGCTATAAAGGCAAAGGCCAGTGGCAGGGTGTAGATAAGATCCCTGGGTAGAGGGAAGCGGCCCTCGTCCTCGTTCACCTCAATGTCCCGCCAGCGGATACCAGGGGGGAGCCAGTACTCCTCCTGCCAGAGCCACTCATTAAACAGGGCCTCCATCCTGAGTGGAAGAGCACATTGTGTCATGCTTCTGTTAAAACTTTAACGCCTTATTACGATTTATGCAAAAGAGCAACCAAGAACCAAAAGGTTAGACGTTAAGAGACACGGAGCATAGGAGAGCAGGGTCGTTTATGTTCAACATTCACACTCTTAAATGTGCTTCTAAAGATCGCCCATGATACATATGTTCCCATGAGTTTATTTGAATGATCTCTTGATCTTAAAATGATTGATCGTTGATCCATGATCACTTAACTTCAAATTAAAGATGCAACTTTAAGTAGGCTACCCAAAAACAGGAAGGCATCTTAAAAATACCACCAACGGTCCCAGAAACATATTCAGTCTAATATCATTTTCCACTAGGAAAAGCATTGAATAATCATATTTGTCAAGCTTAAACACTGTACACCAGATTCTGGGTGGGTGGGTGTGTGTGTGTAAAGATGTCAGAAACAATAAAGTGATAATACTTACTTTTAGTCAGGTAATCCACTAATTGTTTAATCTCTTTGGGCTAAGGCATCAAAATCAAACAAAAGATGACTAAACTACAAGAGATTACATAACCTACAAAAAAACACCTTAGTGGGTGCATACAAGGCTTCAAGTGCTCTGTAACGAAAATATACGGGCACGCGCACGCACACCAACACAAGCACACTTAAAAAGTAACACGGAGAAAGATGAGCATCAGAGAAAAGCTTCCAGCGATGAAAAATGTACATGCTCAACCCTGAAATAATTGCGTTTACAAACGGTTCCCTCCTGCGTCATATTGACCAGCATATTGATAATAGCGGTATAGAAAGACAACATAGCCTACGTCAAAGCGTCCATGCACCCTGCGCATAACCGAAAGTGTTTAACAGCCCAGCATCACATAGGATACTTTATTTGTAGAGATAAATCAATAAGTAGCGCAAAAAACTGCAACATAGTATCAAGAGAAATCCCACAAAATCCAACCTTACAGCCTCAAAGTGAACGGCTTCCAAACAAACAGACGATACCTTTTGAACCAACATATCTATTTTAAACGCCAGGAACCCCTTTAAAATCTTCTTTTTTTTTTAAATCCCTAACACAATAATAAATGCGACATTGCGGTTACCTGTCTGCGATCCTGTGATGGGGATGGGAAGCATACAACGGAGAATGGGAGAGGAGGAGGAGCACGTTTGACGCAACCTGCTCCCACTTTGAGGGCGGAGGGAGGCACGTGCTGTCATCATCACCACTATCATCATCACCATCATCACCATCACCATTATCATTCTATCAGTGTCTAGCTAAGCGTACGGACGTCATTTCAAAGCAACCAAAACACATTGTATGACTTATGCAGTCTCTGGCTGTAACAAAGCCTAGAATGGTTTCGTTGCTATAACTGATTCCTTTCTTTTTTAAATAACCTGTTTAAATTACGATATTGAATATTTTACTGGTATAGGAAAATGTTGATTCATTTGATTGAAAAAAAGTAGCCTAAACTATGATATATAAATTAAATAGGCTAATAAATAGCCTAATTTAACACTGGTGCCATAATGACCCACAAGAGCAAGCCAGTTCTATAGCAAGTATACTATATGTATTTACTCAATTTGAGTTTGATTTTTTTTAGAACTAACATACATAGAAGAACACATGAGGGGTAATCAGGTCAGGGAGCCTATAATAGTTGGTGCATCTAACTAGTTTCATACAACTAGTTTCATATAACTAGAAATCTTCATTAAAATATTTTGATTGCCTCTATGTGAAAGCCACATGTTCTCATGGATTGGGAGGGTTCAGGAAAATACTCCAAATGGCTTACAAAGAAATGCAGTATGGGGGATTTTTTCATGTTTCTGATCTATCATTCATCAACAAAAAGTCAAAATAAAGAAAGCTGATAAGATTAGCAGCCAGGCTCACCTGACCCTGCGTTTCATACCAATCATATTTTCACAGTACTTAGAGGGAAAGGCCTCTGGAGGAAAATACATATAGCAGCTGTTATTGTAGATTATATAATAAACCCTCTCTTCTCTTTGTAGGTCAAAAGGATAATGTTGCAAACTTTTGTAAACAGTCCGTGACTGAATCCACTGTGATTGAATTCCACTCATATGTTTCCTATTAGGTATATATTGGAAGTCTGTGTGCCTTTTTTAAGTTGTAAAAATTAAAAAAAATTCTTGTGCAACTGGCCCACTCGATGTGACTGGAAGAAAATAGAATACTTACTTATACTTTTGTATTTATTTATATTTGATAGGTTGCCCATCCATGATCTCTCTCACCCTCCCTGCTATCAATACCTTTAAACAAATGATGATCAATCTAGATCCTCAAAAAGAGAGGATTTCATTACGCTTATTAGAATTCAGATAACAGTGTTCTGAAAATTTAAGTATTGGTCTTTCCCAGCCATAAAATCCATAAAATAAACAAGATAATATATGGAGAAGTGTTGACTTTCTAGTTGAAGCCATATTCCACTTCTACACAGACTTGCAGTTGAGTCTCTGATCAAAATGCTTCTGAAGGAAATTAATTCAGACGGTTCACTGTAACCTTTGATACTCTATTGTAACCTTCAATAAAGGCATAAAGAGTCATTTACTAAATAAAAGTCTCTGGGAAGCGCTCTGCAGGGTTCAATTGGCGATGCTCAAGAAAAGACATGTATTAGGGTTACATAGGGTAAACATGTGCTTAGTGCTTAATTCATTATGTGTGAGAGTTCCTGATCCTCCTTTCTGTACTAAGGTTGTCGTTTAGGTTGCATGACTTCAGGTTAAAGCACATGAATCAGAGCATGTGACTGATCAAGCTTCTCTGTTTGAGAGATGAAGAGATGTTTCTGTCTGCAGCCGCCAAATTCTTCAGATAAGCATGACACAGAGTGATTAGCCACATACTATTACTTGGCAGTAACCAGTGATTTTTTTTCTCAGCAAACTCAAATACATGCTGCTTTTTTGATTAATTTTCCTTGTGAAGCCTATAGGCTACTTAGCAGTGTTACACTGTTAGAAACATGCATTTAGTGTAATTGTGTTTAGATGATGAGCTCTTCAACGAGAGCAGGGGCATGCTGTCCTAGCTGGGTGTATCCTGTTACAACAACTTGTTTGTTGAGCTGTCCAGCTGTTGTAGGAATGCTTTGTATTGGATATAAATAATAAAATAGAAATAGAGACGCACAACCCTGCATACAGACAAAGATAATAGAGAGAAAGACATCCACTGAATCTAATACATAATCTACAAACTGTTTAAAAAAAAGTGATGTCAATGTTGGTTTTGAAATGAGACCATGTTTTATAAAACTGTTTTTTTAAAGAAAGTGAGTGGGTCAGTGAGTGGGTCAGGTTTGTGTGTGAATTGAATAACTGCTTTATAATTGGGATTACAAGCGGAAAAAATTGGTGTCAAAACAAATATGACAGCCACTGAGTTCATTTCCTGTTTTAAAGCCAGTTACAGCAACAGATGCACACATATGGCACGGCAAGGGAAATTGTACAAATACAGAATTTGTTGAGCTTCAGGCCATGTGTAGTGGCCCAGCTTAAATGATTCATATATTTATCCATAGAAACACTGAAAGCCAGATGCCTTCTCGTGATCTCGAAGTGGAGTCCTGATGACCTCCATGGCTTTATTTAATAGCCTTGTTCAATGCTGGCCTTTTATCCAGACTCAAGCCCCACCTCCTCTCTTCGTACTGAAAGCTCTCTATACTTTCAAGACCACTACAATCCTAGGTATTACAGACTCAACCGTATTATGTCTGAAACAAGCAACAATTCCCGAAATCAATTATAGTTTGCTAAATACCCTCAAGAAACTAATATCACAAAACCTGTGTGGTACATCTAAAAATCCTGATCACCAGTTAATACATTACAAATTCATTCATAGGATGTACCCCACCCCTAGGAAACAGTACTCTATGAAGATTATTACATCTCCCAATGACTTATGTTCACTCAGCGTGCTGGGGTCGTTTATGCATATGTACTGGGAATGCCCCGATGTGGTCACATTCTGGAAGCAAAATAACTTCAACTCTAAGTGACATGCTTAATGCTAAGATCCCGCCTTCACTGACTTTGCTCCTTCTTAATGATGATTCCGATTTAAACTTGTCTTTGCAGCAGAGGCGCATTTTATGGGCTGATCTCACTGCAGCAAAGAAAATGTTAGCATTAAGATGGCAACCGCCACATTCCTTGACCTGGCGACATTGGGCCAACTCTCTTCTTGAAATTGTTCAGATGGAATGGTCTGTGGTTTGTAATATAAGATGTAATTTCTTTGTACATTTCTAAATAAAAAAATGATCGCAAAAAAACTGTGTATCTGTGTAAAAACTAATATCACATGCTTCTAACTGGTTTTAGTGTTAATTACAAACTTAAACCCAAAAATACCTTTGGGATGTGGAGCACAGGGATAACTGATGTTGTGTGTCTACTCTTTTCATTTCTCTGTAAAACTTAGGTAAACTAAACCCCAGCAACAACTGTGATACATCCTTTGGAACTGATATAATCTGCCACTTTTATTTTCATTTAGGGCAAGGTGCACCAAAAAAAAGTATTATTTCTCATTCAGGAATAGAATATCAAAGATAGAATGCAATTCTCATTTGTTTCAACTATGCAACTGAGCCTGTCTACAAAAATAATACAATACAAATAATACTACAAACAAATAATCGTCCACCAGCATGCTGCAGGTATGCCATTACTTAAGCTCACTAATTTATTTCATTGTTAGCATGCTAGCATAACTAACAACAAAAGGGCAGCAGAGACGGATTTCAATCCTAATTATTTAGCACATATTGATTCATAATCCAAAGTAATCAATAGTTATAATGTAGCGACATTGTTTCCCATAATGCTACTTAATGTGTGGTTTGTAAAGCTCGTTGCTAATGCAATTGTTAGCCTAGCCTATGTTTGTATTGTTCATGTCAACATTTAGAGAGTGTTGTTTAAAGCAGAAATATGTCATTTTGGGTTAATCAGTAGTTTGTCTTTAGTTTTGACCATAACTGAGGAAACCGTTGGAAATAAGAAATGTCGCTACCCAATTGTGACACATACAATACATACCCAACACAAAATTGACTCAAAACATATTATGGCTAAAAGCACAAGCACTATCATCATGCAACCTACTTCTCTGGGCTTTGCATACCTTAGGGACCATTGAGGCCTCTGCAAGACCCCTGGTCCCTAGCTGTGTACCCCTCTGTCTGGGCCAAAGATAACACAGCCGGGGAGGTGGGGAATGTGCACAGGAAACCAATGCTTCTCAGCAGCAGCAGTGGCGGCTGTGAGCCTGGCTGAGCTGAGCTGCTGAGGACCTGGTTGGAGCACAGTCACGTTTCAGCAGGGGCCAAGGGGCCTCCTCCAGGAAACACACACACACACACACTTACACACTTCTTTCCCATGGGACCCTGACTGGGGATAACATGTGCACAAAACACACGTGTACGTATTCCCATTTGTTACCCGATGGTTATGGAGACGAACAACGAAGTATTCTTTATTGGTTGCTCACACATTGATGTTGTTAGTTCATGTTTTTCTCATTTTCTTATTTGCTCTTTTATCAGCTCACACACATAGAAACCCAACTCCTTTGCACAAGCTCTCTTCATCTTTGTTATGTCTAATATCCCTCTGGTCTCTCTGAACTTTGACAGTCCTTGTCATCCCTTTCTCCTTCTCTTTGCCAAGTGTTTTTTCGGCTGCAGCCACAACAGGGCCTCTGTTCTCGGCTCCCTGTGGAAGCCTGCTGGACAGCTCTCACTTGCACACTCTCTTTTTGTGATTCCCCTCTTTCTCCTCATCTCTCTCTGTTCCTCCCTCTATTAATTTTTCTCTCAGAGCATTCCTGGAGCTCTCCACTGTTGTTTCTCATACTTTTTGTCTGTTGTTTTTGGCGTCAGCTCTCCATGGGACCCCCAGAGTGAAGCCGGTTAGCGCTCCAGCTCTAAGCTCTAAAGACAACAGTGTGTGGCCTCCTCTTCTTTACACACACTTTATCTGAGAGCAGGCTAACACAACAACTGGAGGCGTACAGTAAGAATGGTGTTGCTGGGGTAATTGGAAGTCTCCGTCGTGAACAAGGTTTGACCTCATTTTTATGCTGTGGACTGAAACTGATACCACTGTGTT